CTGCCTGAGACTGATGTTTGCTTTCTGGGAGGCGCGCCATGTTTTGTTCATAGCCATGAAGTTGTACGCGAGGACGCAGGCAGCGGAGGCCACTTGATAGTCCGATTCGCCTTCTTTTGGGTTTGTTGAGGAGGGGAAGACATGGTGTGGCGTTTTGGATGGATCCAGATGTTGGAGGCCCAATGGCCCCTGTCAGCAGGGGTTGCGAGCCTTCAAAGATGTCATGGCTGATGGGTGGGCCTGTGCAAGATAAATGCGGAGCTCTGATTGTGCAGAAAAGGGTGTCTGCCGTGGTGGTGCTGGGATCCTGGGATCCTGGGCTAGCCCGACCGAGTGATGGATGGTTTTTGCGCTGACTTGGAGAAGACAGCCGTAGGAGGGTAAGGTAACCTCTGTGACGGTCGTGTATCGGCAGCCTCGGTTGACCTAGATGCAGAAGCGTCTTGGCCGGCTTCACCGAGTTGAATGAAATTTTGGAGTTGGATACTTGCCTCGGGATGACGGACAGGCTGGAGGTCTGGACTCTGGACGAAGCTTGAACTGCATCGATGAGCCGAGCCACCGATTTTAGCAATGGTCCTTGCTGTGTGTGGGGAAGAGAGAAATGAGAGATGGGAGCCCTCTGTACGAGCAAGCGACAGCGGCCGGCCATACAAACAGAAGGCTTCTGGCAGGAGCGACCGGGAGCGTCGACGTTGCTCCGGAGGGACCTCAGTGTTTCCTGGTGCTCAAATGAGCCGCGTCTGCCAGCCCTGGCCGCTTGAGCCTTTGGATATTTCTGAGCCTCTTGGAATGCATCGACCTGAAGAACTTGCCATCCTCGAGTGCAATTCTGAGCCTCGGAACGCCACTCGGGTACCTAAGGGCTTCAGCACTTGTGAACGGGGCACCAATAATCGAGGCTGCCGCCGTCCCAAGGGGACCGACCCCAGACGACTGCTTTTAGCTTGGCAAGATCCCCATCCACATGTTTCGCTGCTGTGTTAAGTACGAAGTGTGCGTAGTACAGCGGCCGCAAAGTACCTGATGAGGTCAACTGGTGTTTGGTACAAAATAATAAGCATCATGGCCGTCCCTAGGCACTATGTACTTGACAGACTAGCCATTGTTCAGTGTTCAGAGGGCTTGTGAGCTGGCCCAGCGTACCGACCCAGGTATCCCCGCAGGTCGCATCTCGGGCCTCATTTGGCCGCGAGTACCCCGGCAGCTAGCTCTGTTTGGGTACTGCTCAAGCTCAATCCCTCCAGCGCCCCTCCCCAGATACCTCTCCAGATACCTCTCCAGTACAGCAATCTGGCGCCTCTGCAGGTACCTTGGCACGTCTCTGGTACCTGGTCCGGTACCTCCCCGGCCCCCTGCCCTGCCCAGGCCCAGTACCCAAGCTTGGCCTGCAGGCGGCGTCATTGTACGCTCAAGTTCTCAAGTGCCCTCGAGCAAGTGGCTGTCAAGCTGTGGCCGGGACAACGAGCCAACCTCCTGCTCCGTTCTCAAGCCTGTCCATGTCCCGTCCTCAAGTCCTCTGCTCCCCTCTTGTCGCCTCTTGGCTTCTTGTATTTTAGAATTTGCATCTCCCGTTACTTGACGGTGTGTCCTCCTGCTGCCGTCTCTTGCTGTGTTCTCCATCTCCCTTCCACCAGCTCCTGGCTCCTCTCATCCCAACCGATCCTTTCTCTTCGCGTCCCCCCTCGCGCCCCAACAGCATCATGACCGACTACACCACGGGCATCATGCCCTTGCACCCGGTGCATAAGCCACCGTATACCATCGAAGCTCCTGACTACCCAAAAGTCCCGGGTGAAACAATTCCTCGGCGACATCCTCGAGCCAAGAACGGCCTCCTCTCCCGTCCCGCCGACGACGTCCACAACGTCTTCGACATTGTACGCCGCAGTGCTCGCATCTATCCCAACCACCAGGCCCTAGGCCATCGCAAGCTTGTCAAGCTTCACAGGGAGACAAAGAAGATCAAGAAGAATGTGGACGGCGAGGTTCGGGAAGTCGACAAGGAGTGGCAGTTTTTTGAGCTCTCTGGCTACAGCTTCCTGACCTACAAGGAGTATGAGACCCGAATCCTCCAGCTTGGCTCTGGACTTCGTAAGCTGGGCCTGACCTCTGAGGACAAGGTTCACTTGTTCGCTGCCACTAGGTATGAATCCACCACCCCCAAGAGAATTTTCGCCCTGGCCTATGCGCGCAACGACTGCCGCTGACTGAATTTTCGAACTAGTTTGCCGTGGATTTCCATGTCTCACGCTTGCGCCTCACAGTCCATCTCCATTGTCACTGCGTATGACACCCTCGGCGAGAGCGGTGTTGAGCACTCACTTGTTCAGACTGATGCCACTGCCATGTTTGTTGACCCGCATCTGCTGAAGACGGCTATCAACCCCATCAAGAAGTCGAGCGTGAAAACTGTTATTATCAACGAGGATTGCATTTTTGCTACCGGAGGCGAGGTCGAGGACTTCAAGAAGAACAATCCTGATCTCAAGGTCTTGACTTTTGAAGAGTTGCGCAAGCTTGGCGAGGAGAACATGGTTGATCCTGTTCCCCCCAAGCCCCAGGATCTCTACTGCATCATGTACACTTCTGGATCCACTGGTCTGCCCAAGGGTGCATGCCTCAGCCACGAGGCCGTCATTGCTGCTGGTAAGTAGCTACAGCCACAACCCTTTTATTGGTGTTTGGAGCCTGGAGGGAGAGGAAGGAAGGGAGGGTAATAGAGTACTAATGTGGCGTTTGTGTAGTTACTGGGGAGCTTACCTGTGTCGATGAGTGCGTCAGCGACAAGGAGTTTGTCCTGGCTTACTTGCCACTGGCTCACATTTTTGAGATGGTTCTCGAGAACTTGGTCTTGTTCATTGGAGGTACTTTGGGTTACGGAAATCCCCGTACGCTTTCCGATGTTTCAGTCAAGAACTGCGCTGGCGACATGCGCGAATTCCGCCCAACGGCTTTGGTCGGTGTCCCCCAAGTCTGGGAGACTGTAAAGAAGGGTGTTATGAATAAGCTCGACTCCTCGAGCCCGCTCTTGAGAAACCTCTTTTGGGGAGCCTATGGCTATAAATCTTTCATGTCTAGAAACAAGCTGCCCCTTGCAGGCATTTTTGACGGCATTGTCTTTGGCAAAGTCCGAGAGCTTACAGGTGGCCGTCTTCGATTCACCATGAACGGTGCCAGCGGTATTTCGGACAACACGAAGCAGTTCTTATCTCTGGTCCTCGCTCCAATGTTGGCCGGGTATGGTCTGACCGAGACCTGTGCCAACGGTGCCTTAGGCTGCCCACTCGAATATTCACCCAACTCAATTGGCCCTATCTCTGCGGCTATCGACGTCAAGCTTGTCTCCGTGCCTGAGCTTGGGTATTTCACCGACGATGTCAAGGTTCCACAGGGCGAGATTTTGATGAAGGGACTGCCCATCTTGAAGCAATACTACAATAACCCTGACGAAACTGCGAAGGCAATTACGCCAGATGGTTGGTTCAAGACTGGTGATATTGGCGAGTTTGATACCCATGGCCACTTGCGGGTCATTGACCGGGTGAAGAACTTGGTCAAGATGCAGGGCGGTGAGTACATTGCCTTGGAAAAGGTTGAGTCGATCTACCGCGGAGCCCAGACCGTCAGCAACATCATGATCCATGCCGACGCTGAGCACTCCCGACCCATCGCCGTCATCATGCCCAACGAGAAGATTTTGGTCGACAAGGCTAAGGAACTCGGTGTCGACGAGCATGACATGCACACCAACCCCAAGGTCCGTGACGCTGTTCTCAAAGACCTTCAGACTGTCGGCAGACGTTCCGGCCTATCCTCGATGGAGATTGTTTCCGGCGTTGTTCTCACTGATGAAGAATGGACCCCGCCAAGTGTAAGTTGATCCCCAAGAACGGACCTGAAAGGGCTTTGTGTATTAATATACTTGTAGGGTCTGGTCACTGCTACCCAGAAGCTCAACCGAAGAGTCATCCGCGACCGGTTCAAGAAGGAAATTGAGGAGTGTTTGAAAAACGCCTCCTAAAACATGTTATGCGATGATATAGAAAAGGGAGGGAAGATTTCGCCAAGTAACGGATCATGAGACACGCGAGAGAGAGAGAGAGAGAGAGAGAGAGAGAGTGATGCGGAGGGGTGTGTGAGATGCGGAATCAGGATGCGCGTGATAATACGATCCGTCGCGAGACCGCTTTTCATCTGCGTACTTTTATATACCACGGTATTGTGTCTTTTTTTGCAAATTTTATGTTAGTTATAGTCTTAGGTCTGTAATGTATGTAACTCGTGGCGTTGGGTCAAGGGTACATCGAACAATGGAGTAGGTATGATAACCTGGTGACCTCGACCTTTCTCATACGGCTTGGTGTCTGTGCCTCATATGAAACAAGCTATACTGGGCGGGGAAATCCCTTTGAGGATTCCTGCTGCGAGTCTCGTGATGGCTTTGTGCCAACATTTGTGGAAGGAATTGGCAAGTGAACCGGCTGACGCGTCCGCATTCCCCAGAGAGGGATGAGTGGTGTGATTACAACCACAGAACGTGGAGCTTGATGGACGGCTTGTTCGTCTTTCTGGACCTGGGTACGCATACGTAAAAAACGCGAATTGAAAGACGTGGTTTCAAAAAAATTGGAAATGCCAGATTGCTATGTATATGATGGTACAAATTTGCCGCGAGAAATGCCCAATAAATCGAAGATTGGCTGTGGCACATGCGTAATGCTCCCCGATAGCCTGCCAGCCTGTGAGAAATAATCGTCATCATCATACAACTTTGCGGTTCATAAAAAAGAAGAAACAAATATGTGCAATGCTGGATTAACTCCGCTAAACAGACAAAAATGAGCAAAATAAATCACATCGCTCAATCCATTCCATCCTTGCCATCATGCATTCCAGAAAAACAAGGGACCTAACAGAAACATGGCAGTACCATCGTGTCTCAAAAAGCAAAGAAATGAACCGTCTAGGATAGTCTCTCATAATGCATTACGACATCCTCATTCGCTCTTCCTCCTAAAGAACGCAAGGTACGGGACTGCATCCGACCCAGATTTAAACACCGTGTTCTGTATGTCCGTAGGTTCCCGGCTGCCAATGCGGACTTTGGTCACGACGCTGTCGTTACAGCAGTACCAGGCATACGGGTCGTGGGTGCTCGAATCACGCACATAGGCGTAGTAATGCCCACTGTCTATACTTCGCCCAGAATGAACAATGACTGCGTAGCATTGATACCGGAAAGGGCCACAGAAGGCTCTATCATGTGTGGAGGCGCCTTGCCAATCTTCAGCCGAGTTGAGAAAGTACGGTGTAAAGTCGAAGTCATTGAAATCCCAAGTAACTTCCGCAGTGGACTTGACAACACCTCTTCCATTGACCTGGAAACGGCGGAAACTGACACAAAGAAGGGGCGGCATTCGTGCTAGGGACTCTGAAATCTTGGCTGGCCTTGAAGTTGCACAGCAGTTGCACCTAAAATCATCGATTTCGTCGCCCGTGTTGGCCTGCCGCAAGGCTTCAGACAGAGTCATGTTCCGGTCGCCAGATACATTGACGCCAAGCGATTCAAACTGAGAGAACGTATAAGTCCGAGTGGCACAGTGGTGGCATTGAACTGTGGACAACTGAAGCCCGCGCCAATACTGATCCACAATAGAGTCGTTCAATCGTTTATGGTTTTCCCAGTATCGTTCTGCCGCTTGAACCAGCTGTATGCCCTGAACATTGGGTTGGTCAACCGTGCCTTGCTGGCCCCGTCGAAGATTGGTCTCATCGTGAAGCTGATCCATTAAGAAGGACATGAATTCCTGCGCATCTTGTTGGTCTTTCCCACCAAATTTCGTCTTGGGGTCACCGGTGGCGCACAGGTGTCGGGAATAATCCTAATTTTCACATTACGTTAGTATGTGTCTCCCCTTGTGCTGTCGTGTATAGCTCATGACGGACTTACCATGAGCATTTGAGCCTTCATAGTCTGGAACTTGCCGGAACTCATCCAGTAGAAGATATTTGACAGCATTTGAATCATCAGCTGTGGCTGATCCATCTTTTCACCAGGTTTCCGGGGCACTTGGTTCTTATACCGTCTTGCCCATTCCGAGTCAGCAATTTCTCTCCCGAAGCTAGGAGATGCAAGCAGAGATTGTATTATGCTGTTTGCATAACACCAATTGCCTGGATTATTGAGCCCTGTGTGCACTTTGACAGGTGTTGCAGGTACTTGCTCTGTAATTTCATGGTCATCGTGGCCGTCTTCGGACAGGCTGATATGGCTGGGGCGTTGTACTGCGGCTTGGGGTCGAGTTGGGGGGGTGAGCATCTGCACAGGGGAGCCGAATCCCGTTGCAAAGTCATGTTTGTATCGCTGTTCGGCAGAAATTCCAGATGACATGGATTGCTGTTCTAGTGACACCGGAGGAAACCTCAGAAATTCGTCTCTGGTGCGAGGGAAAGATGGCGGTGCCGCATCCTTTTCAAGACCTTTTCGGAATGTCTCTACGTCCTTTTCAGGTAGCGGATTAAAAACATATTTTGAACCTCTTCGTTGAATGAATGGGTGGCGTTTGCTGGCTCTGGGTTGCGTCTTGGCATCTGTAGTCGGAGTAGATCGTAGGGAGCCAGCTCCATAAAGGTCAGTCCACGCATTTATCCCGCCCTTGAGGAGCTTGGGCGGATTTCTTAGCTCCTTATCGTAGCTCAGCTCAACCAAGGCGCGGTTTAAAGACCAGAGAGCAATGTCCCGCGGGTCTTTGTCAGATTTAGGAAAGGATTCCGAATCTTGGTCGTAGAAGACCACTAAGTCATATGTTTGGCGCTTCTCGAATAGCGAAAGCTCCGTGGGGGGGGACAGAACCAGAGCTTCCGAGATATCGCTGCATGTCACATCTCCTCGTTCCAAAATGTTTGGATCGATACAAATAATCGATACGGCCATAATATGTCCTTCATCAAAATCCTCGCGGGGCCGCACATCAATGTAGAGAATAGATGGCTTGGCTTCTCTGACCGTGATGAGCTCCCTAGGGGTGATGGTATTGCCCTCGGGGATTTTGAGCGCCTTCTCTGCCACGTCAGATGGCTTTGGAGCACTGGGCGGAACAAGAGGAAAGTATTCGTCGCTCTGCCGCGGTTGATTCGCGCTGGGAGTTCCCGATATTGACGTGGATGAACCTTTTCGGCTGAAGAGTCCCCTGGGCGTGCTTGTGGGCAACCGCGCCGCCTCTCCAGAAACGCTACCTCGAACCGGGCTATATATAGCATCTGGGGGCTTGGGTAAAGCGGTGTCATAACTCATATTAGTGTTCACCTTTGGGGGGGACGGCGGCATTTGTCTTGGGCCGGCTGGCCTCTGAGGAATGATTGGATAAGTCTTAATTCGAGGATCTTGTCCAGGTGATGGCTGCGGTCCTCTCAAATTGGCAAATCGAGCGGCTAAATCCAATGTCATATTATTTGCGGAATTAGTACGATTATGTCGAGGAATGGCGTTGCCATGAAGAGCCGCAGGCTTTGGGTTCACAGCTGGCTTTGACTTGGCGGGAGGGCCACCGTTCGGCAAGTGAGGCACATGTCCGTTTGGCAGCTTCTTCTGCTGCTGCCGTTCTTCTTGTTGAACAGGCCGTACTCCGTTATTGCTTGTAACGGGCAGAGGAGCATTTGATAGTCCGTTGACTGTGGTGACAACAGGCGAAGTTTCAACTGTAGGTCGGACACCAGTCCTTCGGTTATCGGCCATGATATCTTGCTTGATCTGGTTGTATATTTCACTTTGGCGATTTATCTTGGATAAAAGGGCTTTGTGTAGTAGAGAGGCGTCCCCCTGTTTCGACGCCATGGTAGGAAAATCTGGGTGTCTCCGGATAACTTCCACGGCGATGACAAACGCCCTGACATAGTCCTTCAAAGCGATGGCAGGGCGATTGAAATCACGATGCAACTCAGATTGCCGAAAAGAGCTTTCTGCCTGCTCCAAAAGCTTCCTTATAGACTGATTCGGATTAATATCTTTCGGCATTGAGACGAGATCGTCGATGTGTGGAAAGGGAGCGGCTGAGGATCGAGGAGGACCGGACGAGGCTCCATTTCTGGCATGATAGCCTCCCACAGGCATACTATGCCTAGGGTTGGCGTTTGCGGCCATGGATGCGCTGCTTGCAGCAGATGCTTGAGTCTCAGCAAGCGCAGGCCAGCAATCGCTCAGATCTCATCAGCATGGAGCGTTGTCGCAACTGTGGTCGGCGTGGTCCTTCATATCTCGGCTTGACAAGCTGACTGGCTATTTTTACAGGGTTTGGTGAGTCGATGACGACCCCTGCCACCTTGGGAGATTGGAGATGGCGTTCTTGCTTTGTTTTCAAGTCGTGGCTCGGTCGAAGTCGAGTATACGGACGTGGGAATGGATGAATGCGCAAGAGGCGGGTGAGGAGTGGTGACGCATCCACGAATCCCCTGACTTGGTGCTCGCCTAGGTGTCTGGTGAGGAGTAACCTGTCTGGCTTTCCCCCGTTTTTACAAAGGCGCTGGAAACGGTATCGCTCATAAACAAAAACGCGCGTATATCGGACGATGTCGACAGAGAGGCGGCCGCAGGCCAGTCGGGTAATATTGAAAGCTGGGGAGATATTGGCTGGACCAGTTGACGTGTTTGTGTGAAGCATGTACGGAGAACTCCAGCGAGTTACCACGAGGTACGATTTCCATGTGCTGGGTGGGTGCGAGCAAATACAATGGGCGGGTGGAGGGGTACCTGGCGTGCGGCCCCGCAGCTGGGGAAAGCAAGGTACCCACCACGAGGAGGTTTGTACTCTAGTACCCTACCTAACATTGCCATCTCCCGTAGTGCATTCGAGTGCTGAGCCCTTGAGCATTTGAGAACTAGACGCTTGGCACTGGGCATTCTAACTCGATGTAGTGCGAGGCACGTACGCACCCGTTAACTTACAGTGGTCATCAGTCAGCATGAATTGATATTAAAGCATTGACCAGACCCAACCGTGGAAGGCAGGAGCCTTCTCGAAGCCCGCCAACCCGCTACACAGCGGCCGTGCATTCGTCCTCTTAGTCGCCTGAGCCACAGCGCTGACGTTCGACTATAACCATGGAAACCCAGGCGCGCAACTGTCAAATGTTGGACTTGGTTTCTGGATAAAAATCATGTAGTTATTTGCAACACCTGTTAAGTATTCGGATATTACTGCAGGGACATCAGTACAGCCACTGGTTTTTTTTGTTTTTTTTTTCATTCGCCCTCGCATGCTGCGACCAGTCTCCCCAAGTGTCAGATGTCGAGACGTCGACTGGTCGTCGTCTCGTGCTCCACATTACTGACGCAACACCCGGCGGCCAACGTAACCAGCAGGCAGCTTTAACCCGAGCTGAGGCGGCACCACACCTTGCTCATCGTCCTTGGCAAGGCTGCCGTCTACAATCCACAGGTTACCATCCATCGTCAATCAACCTCTAGAACGTGAGACTCGGCGACACATCGTCCTTTGCATTCCCATCCGCTTGCTGTAGCTGTAGCTGCCGCTGTCGTCTCTTGCTCGCCCGCCCCGCCGTTTGTCGCCCTTCCTCCCACGACCGACGTCCTACTCTCCTCGAGCAAAGCCGACATCGTCATAACCTCATTCAGCCCCAGGTCCGGAGCCACCCATCGCCACCATGATGAGCTGGTGGTCATCCTCGGCCAACACGGCCCTGGATGAGCAGATTGAGAAGGCGACGAGCAGCAGCTTGTGAGTACCATGACGGCCCCGCCTGTGCCCAGCAGGTGCCTGCATATCGCAGCCTTCGTTGACCGTGGTGACAGGGAGGACATCGCCTTGAACCTCGAGATATCCGACATCATCAGATCCAAAACCGTAGCGCCCAAAGAGGCCATGCGATCCCTCAAGAAGCGAATCGGAAATAAGAACCCAAACACCCAACTCAGTGCCTTGAATGTATGCCGCCGCTGGCTTCTCGTTGGCTACCATGACACTTCCGCTAACACATGTATTCCAACAGCTCACAGACACCTGTGTCAAGAATGGCGGATCGCATTTCCTGGTGGAGGTTGCCTCGCGCGAGTTTATGGACAATTTGGTATCACTACTGCAAGCCGTGGGAGCCGTTGCAGTCAACGCCGACGTAAAGACCAAGATTCTTGAGCTTGTGCAGCAATGGGCAGCAGCCACTGAGGGCCGACACGATTTATCCTATATCAACGAGGTTTACAGAACATTACAGCGAGAGGGATATCAATTTCCTCCTCGAGTAACGGTGGCGAGTAGCATGATTGACAGTAGTGCGGTATGATTGATATCGGAGTTGATTTAATCAAGTATAACTCTGACCGATTACTGACCCATGTCATTTTGTTGTAGCCTCCCGAATGGGCCGATTCAGACGTTTGCATGCGCTGTCGAACTGCCTTTACGTTCACGAATCGAAAGCATCACTGCAGAAATTGTGGCAACTGCTTCGATCAGCAATGCTCCAGCAAGACGATCCCACTACCACACTTGGGCATTCACGCACCGGTCCGAGTTGACGATGGTTGTTATGCGAAGCTGACGGGCAAGGGATACAGGGAACTCGGTCCGCCGGATCGGTCACCCACATACCCGCACAAAACTCGAAGCACATCGGCCATGCAGCCTCGGAATGCGCGTGTTGATGACGGCTTCGACGAAGACTTGAAGAAGGCACTCGCGATGAGTTTGGAAGATGTCAAGAACAACTCTAGAGGCTATGTGGAACCGGCAGAAAACAGGGCTAGAGCCACAAAGGACTCGTCAAAGCTAGAGGAAGAGGAGGATACTGACTTGAAAGCCGCGATTGCTGCGTCTCTAGCCGACATGGAGGAACAGAAGAAGAGACATGCCGCTGCACTAAAGGAACAAACATCAAACCGTCCTACCAGCTCATCATCAACGCCGTTTGTTCTCCCCAAGAACGACTACGAATTGACTCCTGTTGAAGCCGAGAACATCAACCTCTTTGCCACACTGGTGGACCGTCTCCAAACCCAACCACCAGGGACAATATTACGCGAGCCGCAGATTCAGGAACTTTATGACAGTATTGGCACCTTGCGCCCGAAGCTAGCAAGAACGTATGGTGAAACTATGAGCAAGCACGGTAAGTTCATCTACTGTACTTTGTGGCAAGGCATCGACGTAGCTAACTTGGGCACTGTAGATACGCTACTTGATCTCCATGCCAAGCTGTCCACCGTGGTTCGCTATTACGATCGTATGCTGGAAGAACGCCTTTCAAAGGCCTATAGCCAGCAGAATCTAGGTGGCTACAGCCTACCGCCTCCTCGCCAGCCTACAAGTGCATACCCTTCTGTACCGTCACAAGCTCACGCCAATCCTGGTGTCGCTGAAAGCTTCTACACGGGGCAGGTGCCTCCTCCAAGTTTTCAAGTCCCTCCCGCTCAATCGTATCAACAACAGCAGGTTCCACCACAAGCAACTCCTCAGCCTCAATTCGCGTCCTATAGCCAGCCTTCGGAGCCTCATTCAGGCCAGTATGCGCTGCCTCAGAGAACGAGCAGTTGGCAGACACGGGCTCCATCTGTCCCTCAAGACCCGTATCATCCGCAGCAGGCTCCTGTAGTAGAACCAGCGCAAGGAATACAAACGCCCCAGCAGGCTCCCGCCTCACCGTCGACAGAGCGCCGAGGCTCGTACTATTTCGGCACTCAGCAACAGCACTCGGTGCAAGTGCCCTCTGGCCCGTCTGCACCTGGGCCAGCTCCGGGCTCAACTCCGTCGCCATATCCTAGCCTCCAGCATTCCATGCAGTATCAGCAGCCAGCTTCCACTACTGCACCCAGCCAAGCAACACCGATACAATCCCATGCCCAGCCAGCCCAGGCAGGTCGTCGGCCTTCCCAAACCCAAACCCAGGCTCAACCGCAAAGCCAGCAAGTTTTGGTCCCTCAGCAGCAGCAGCAGCAGCAGCAGCAGCAGCCCACGGCGCAGCAACAGCCAGCTCAGCAGCAGTTCTGGCACCAGCCTGGTGCTCACCAGTCCACCGAACAAACTCCTCAGCAACAGCCAGAGGCTCCTCAGTCATGGGCTTATACCGGATACGCGCAGCCTACATTCCCGTCGGTACCACAACATGAACCCATGAAGAAGCCTGTACAAGAGGAAGCGCTAATTGAGCTGTAATTTCTTTGCCTGGTGTTTATTTGATCTTTTGAGCAGTGTTTGGGATCTCTGATGGCATGTCATGGGGGGAAACGCAAAGATTGGCGAGGCGTTACGTGTTTCTCGATATTTCTGTCACCCAGCAGTCTTAAGGGAACAATGAAATTGGCACTCCAACAAAAGCTACCTCATCGTGGTGAGCAGAGATTTCTCAAGACTGGTTGACGAGCACCATTTATTTTAGTTGATGATACCAAAAGTTGGACGTGTTGTATGTAACCACAGACGTGCACCCCACGCCAGGCGTCCAGCGTGAGAGGAGATGGAATACGTCTTTTAGAGGGTACTACTCATCAATGGATAACCCAGTTCCCCGAGCACCGGGAGCTGTGACTGTGAACATTTGCCCAATCGTCACTTGGTCAATAATACGAGTTGCCTCTAATTCCAAGGGCATCCATCACCCTTGCCTGGTAGACCCATCAGTGCCGCCACAGAATACGGAGTAGGCATGAGTAACAATAAAACTTGAAATGTCTCAATTGGTCATCAACGCAGATCCCATGACTGTCTGAGGCTTTTGGTCAAATACTACGTAGGCTGTTACCCATTTTTTCCCACCATCCCTCCCGAGTTCGGTGCTCGCATCGCCACAAGGGCGTGGACAGTATACGGAGTGGCCTCCGCACAATACAGAGGTTGCCCAGAGTAGAAGCTCCGCCCGCCGTGGTTCGCACGATAAAACAGCCTTCCCCCCCTCGGGCTTTGCCATCCGGGCCACAGGACTCCGGGGAACGGTGCACATGGTGCACTTGCGTCACCTTCGCCAGGGGCCGAGCACCGGAACATTGTTTATTCTGCGGACGAGGCGTAGTGCCAACCTAAGGCCAGTGACTAGACTAGTTACTATTTATGGCGGTCAGTGGTTTCCTCTCCTTGGACCGGACTCACGATGGTAGATGCCTATGAGTTGAAGAACGCGTAATAGATTGTCGTGGTTTTTCAAGGCCGTAGTGATCCCTCATCCCGTCTCCTTTTTCCCTCCCGGACGTCGACTTTATACAGCTTGCACGAGACGTAAACCCCGGCCGGGCTTCACTTCTCGCCGAGAAACTCTACAGCGATGCCTCCCACGATCCATCTCGTCCGCCACGCCCAGGGCTTCCACAACCTCTGCGTGGAAAACGAATCCCTCCGCGACCCGGACCTGACTGCCCTCGGCGAGCAGCAGTGCGCCGACCTGCGCTCCGCATTTCCCTCGCACGCCAGGCTCACCGGGCTCGTGGCCTCGCCGCTCCGGAGGACCATTCAGACGTGCGACTTGGCCTTTGGGGGCGCCGACAAGCTCTACCCCATCGTGCTGCTCGACACGCTGCAGGAGGTCTCTGGCGCGCCGTGCGACACGGGGTCCAGCAAGGCCGCGCTGCGTGCAGAGTTCGGCGACAAGATCGATCTGCAGCGCGTGCGGGACTCGTGGACGGAAAAGGGCGAGGGGAGTGCGTTTGAGCCGACCATGGAGGCGCTCATGGCGAGGGCCAAGACGGCGAGGAGGGCGCTGAGGGAGATGGCGGGCGATGGGGACGACGAGATTGCCGTGGTGAGCCATGGCGGGTTTCTGCACTTTTTGACGGATGATTGGGATGGCGTGCCCCTCGATCAAGGTGAGTTTCTTCTTCTTCTTTTTTTTCTGTCTTCGGCTTGTCGCAGGCGCTGAATGGCAAACTGATCAAGGTTCCCTAGCCACTGCGTGGACAAATTGCATGTGTCGTTCGTACCAATTTGCCGAGTCACCGGATGACAAGGACGACGTCAGACTCGTTGAGACAAAGGAGAGCTGGGCTCGGAGACAGCCTGCGTCGAGACAGCCGCTTACTGCGACGGAGCAGAGGGAGATTCGGGCCATTGTCCAGAAGCGACTGCTGCCGTATCTGAAGATCAAGGCATGAGCGATTTTAAGTAAGCGTCTGAAATGGAGGGGTAGATTTGTTTGGGTAAATAAGACATGGCTCTGATTATGGATTGTCCTGCATGCTTCGCGGCAAGATGCCGTGGAGGGGTATTGAATTTTCATGAATTAATAGATTAAATAAAAGCTAGAACTATGATAGATGCCATGAACAATCGTATCAAACAGCTCGAGATGGAATGTAGTTACATGAACTTTAGTTTTCTTGTATGGTATTTACCCACAGAGTATCCCGGAAGACTCGTCTCACGTTTGTTCACATTTCCGGCTGCATCTTTACATTATATAGTCCAGATCATTTCGTTCTAGATGATCCTGTACCTGTCTTATTTCCTTCCATGTACTGGGTCGAATTTCCAGCATTCGAAGAGCGACTCCCGACTCTGTGTTGGGACATGGCTCTAATTTACAGCGACAGAAACACTTTTGTCCGGCCTGGGTAGGTTCGAGAAACTCCCTGGCCGCATTATCAATAGGGCTCCCTTGTTCCTAGCCTAATAGGGCTCCCGTAAGATATGGTGGCGACTCTGATAGTAGGTCCCGAAGTTGGAAATACTGCCTTCGGAAAAAGTTCTCCCGACTAGAGTATAGCACACGAGCAAAGACGTTATACACAGCGTGGGGTTGACGCTGCATCATAGCTGCCTTGGACTCTGTGATCTCAGTAAGACGAAAACATGTACGGGATGGATTGAACATGCGCATATTGACTGCGACAGCAGTCCATGTGGCCTGTGGCATGAGACCGGATGATTGCGGGGAGAGACCCTTGCTAGGCTTTAGAGTAGCCCTAGGGTCAGGTGTTTGCTCAAAGTAAGAAGCACCACTACCTGCTTGCTGCAATGTTGAGGCCTGTTGTCGAATGTCTTCCCAATCAACAGTATCCGTAGACTGAATACTGGCACAGCTACCGATTGTCCCACTGCTGTCACTGGTTTGCGGGGAGGAGAACTGCAGGGCTGGGTCGTAGTCTTCAGCAGACCTCGACTCGACATCGAAGGCCCGGACTACACTTGAAGGGGGGTTTTCTCCTTCAATTTCTCCCGTGCTTTCCTCCAGGAGAGTTTGGAGTGCGGTGTCGTCGATGCCGTCACAATGGAGTTGCTCATCGGCAGTAGAGCTCGATGAGGCTGTCAGATTGTCCTCCAGTGTCTGCATCTCGCTAATCATTGCTAGCTCAAGCTCGAAGCCCGTATCACTGTATTCATCTGAGAATGAATCAGCTGCTGTCGAACCAATGTTATGTCTCACTCACCTGAAGAGCAGATCTCTTGCCGCCTTTGTGGCTCGGATGCTTCCATGGCTGATTCAAGCGATTTGTCCATATTCTCTAATGACTGTATAATGCCTCCTGGGGCAGACAGGTTGATGTAGGTGCGATTTGTAGAATCTAGTCTCGCTCTACGGTGGGAGAGGTCTTCCAGAGGAGAGCTAACTCTTCTCTTGCCGCAGTTGGCAGACGGCTGCGTGGCCATGGTGATTGCGTAACAGGCTGTGATGATCTGGATGTTTGGCAAGATAAATCCATCGAAAAAGAGAATGATTGAGAAACGAAGCGTTTAGAATTTTTGGGGGATTTTAAGCTGTTCTTTTGTCGGAGAGCAGGTGGCCGACAGAACCACGAGGAACGACGGTGGCTCTTTCCATCTTTGTTGAAAGTGCAAAAATCACGCCACTAGGGCCAACAACCGGAAGGAAGGGCCTCATAGTAGGCAAAACTGCATGTGCAGGATACAAAACGAAGTCAAATTGTTTCTCTCGATGATATGATGTCTTGGCAGACTTTAACAGCTCAGCAGTAATTGTATGCGACTTTGCTCTTCGACCTGCACCTACACGAGTGAGTGTGTGACCAGAGAGGGTCTGGGGATATAATGAAAGTCGAGGTTCTGATGCTAGCTCCACTTTTAAATACTAGTCCGTATTCCATGGTTGACCGGGACCATAACCCTAACCCTAACCGCCAAAGTAGGGTGGGGCTAGTATCGGGTGCACCTGCACCTAATGTCATGTCTTCTAGGCCCTCACTTACACAGACTGCGAATAGCAGCCAGTAGCGTCGGTGGACAAGTCCCGAGCCAACCCCGAATCTCCCCCCGCAGCGGGGCCAAGAGCAGAATGCAGCGCCAGCTTAGCCAGGGACGGGGTTTCACGACTGAGTTTGAATTGAGTTGCCACAACTTTTCAACTTCCGCAAGAGGGTTCTCTTCACCTCCTCCACCAATAGGCGTCCACAGTAGACCCTGCCGAAGGGCACATGTGAGCCCCGTCCCGATGCTCCAGGACTCTCACGTCACTGGCATCACGGCGGGTCCGCGAACAATGACGAATGGTGCAGGCTGAGTCGACGGGCATCACGAAAAGTACCGCCGTTCCCTAGCCATTGCGACCCAAGACCAGTCGCATTTCTCTTCTCATTCACACGTGCCACTGCCTCCCCAGATTCCCATCCCCGCGTCGCCACGTCTCCGCATTGCGCATTATTCGGTGGTACCTCTTTTCGTCCCACGTTTAGGACGTGCACCTCGACCACTCACTTGAATCGAATTGCTCCACACGAAGTCGGTTTTGCGAGACCGCGCGAGCCGAGGACTGTTCTTCTCGGGGAGACTGGACGTGAGCGTCTTTTCTCCTTGAGTCTTTCAGAAAAACCGCTGCTATTATTCGCGACAAATTGTCAATATGGGTGACGCTCCTGAGCCCAAGAGACCCCGCACTGGGGATGCTGAAGAGACCTTTGTTGGTAGCATTGATCAGGGCACTACGTCGACACGATTTGTAATTTTCAATGCGAATGGCGAGCCCGTCGCGCTTCATCAGATGGGCTTTGGCAACATCCACCCCGAGTCAGGGTATGCTTTCCTCCCCCGTGCTCCGGGCGTTCGCTCTTTGCGACTAACATCCGTCACAGATGGCACGAACACGACCCTCATGAACTACTCCAAACCGTGGAGACTTGCATACAACAGGCCACCAAGAAATTCACCGACAAGGGCTTCGACATTGCGAAGGTCCACGCTATTGGGGTCACAAACCAGCGCGAGACTACGGTCCTCTGGGACAAGAATACGGGAGAGCCGCTCTACAACGCCATTGTCTGGCCAGATACCCGAACCAAGGCTCTCGTCCGGGAATTGAAAGCCAAACAAGGCTCCGACAAGCTCCTCGGCCTGTGCGGTCTTCCTCTGTCCACATACCCCTCCAGCGTTAAGCTCCTCTGGCTCCTGCGAAATAACGATGCTGTCAAGGCCGCCTACGACGAGGGTCGTCTAGCATTCGGCACCATTGACTCATGGTTGATATTCAGACTCAACGGCGGTATCGACAGACAAGGCGGCCCCATCCATGTCACGGATCCAACGAATGCCAGCCGCACCATGTTCATGAACCTCAAAACCCTCAAATACGACGACCAACTGCTCTCCTTTTTTGCCATTGACCGCCAAAAGATAGCTCTGCCCGAAATTGTGCCCTCATCCCATCCCACGGCCTTTGGCACGTTATCTCGCGGCCCTCTCAAGGGCGTTCCTATTGCCGGATGTCTAGGGGACCAATCATCTGCACTAGTAGGCCAATTAGGCTTCAAACCAGGCCAGGCAAAGAATACCTACGGCACGGGCTGCTTCCTGCTCTACAACGTAGGCACGACACCCGTCATCTCCAAAAGCGGCTTATTGGCCACGGTAGCATACGACTTTGGTGACGGCAAGCCCGTCTACGCGCTCGAGGGAAGTGTTGCCGTCGCGGGATCCGGCGTCACATTCCTATTGAACAACCTCGGCCTCATTGAAAGCTCCAAAGCCATAGATGAAGTCGCCCTCTCCGTTCCCGACAACGGCGGAGTCTACTTTGTTACAGCGTTCAGCGGCCTCTTTGCCCCGTACTGGATCGACGACGCCAAAGGCACAGTCTGTGAGTTCTTCCATCCCTTCCCCCATGATTTATAAAAAAACCACCCTGCTCACATGGGAAAAGTCGGTCTCACAGCACACTCGCAAAAGGGCCACATTGCCCGCGCAACCCTCGAAGCTGCATGCCACCAGACAGCCGCTATACTCGATGCAATGGCCAAGGACTCTGGCCGCGCTCTCTCCTCCCTGGCTGTCGATGGCGGCCTATCCAATTCGGAACTCTGTATGCAGACGCAGGCCGACTTGAGCGGAATCAGGGTCGACCGCCCGGCTATGCGAGAAACTACGTCACTAGGCGCAGCGATTGCCGCTGGTCTAGCCACGGGTGTGTGGTCAAGTATCGATGATTTGAAGGATATCAATTCTACACACCGAACTGTTTTTGAGCCCAAGATGGGCAAAGAGGAGAGAGCAGCGTCAAGAAAGATGTGGGAAAGAGCCGTGGAAATGTGTCGGGGTTGGATAAGGGATGACTAGAGGAGGAGGTGCGGCTCGGCTGGATTTCAACCATGGCGTAGGATTGGTAGCATTCACTTGGGCATGACTCAAAACAAATTTGAGTAATAGCAACTCCTCCGAAGAATATTCAACGGCCCCATGAGACACAATTCAAATGAAGAGTGATGAAGAAGATGAAGACGCACCTGACCAAGGAGTCGAGCGTCTGTCCGTGATAAAGTAATAAGGCCGCGAGGAGATTTCGTCATTAATGCTAGGTTTCACCGTCTACCCTGATTTTTGGTTTTTGTGCCGTTGCTCTGCCATACCATGCTCCGTAGCATCATGAACTCTTACATCCACCCGGATGCAATGCCTGCGTACCTGCCTGCCCAGCTTCCCCACTTGCCATTCCATGACGCCAATTATTCGAGTAGATGAGAACAAAATGTGGATCAGTTATCAATGAATTGCGAACGGAAAAGCAGAAAAGAGTATCAAAGAATCAAAGAACACTGAGGTATAGTTAGTGAATCAAATGCGGAAGGCTGAAATTAGAAGAGTTTGATGAGCCTATCCTCCCCGACAGATGCTGGTAGTTGACAACATCAATAAAGAAGATGGGACGAAATATGAAGAGTGGTGAAGTTTGGCGATTGTTGCCAGCATATTGGATACGTTTCGGGAGCCCATACGGATGTGTCAGTGTGCCATTTACATGATGATGGCAGGCACATCGACGTTGGTCTTGATTGACTTGTGAGGCAAGACGCAACCACCGTTGACATAAATTTCATCGCCAATAGTAACGTCGTCGCCAAGAACCGTGACGTTCTCCAGGCGAGCCCAGCAGCCGACAGTGCTGTTCCAGCCCACAATGGCGGACTTGACGCAAGCGTGATCCTTGACCTTGGAGCCACGCAGCAGCACACAGTACTGCAGGCGGACGCCGTTGCCGACAACGACGTCAGGTCCGATAGTAACATTGGGGCCGATTCTGCAGTTCTTGCCAATCTTGGCAGAAGGATCAATGAGAACGTTTCCGCCGTGGACGAAGGGCTCAGTGGGCGGTGTCAGGGTCTTGCAGCCGCGATTGGTTAAAGACGACAGGTATAGGGAGGTTCCGAGAAGGAAGTCCTTGGGCTGGCCAACGTCCATCCAGAATCCCTCAAGGTCGAACGAATGCAACTGATTATCCTGGACCATGCTTGGGAAGGTCTCTTTCTCGATGGAAGTGGGGCGGAGCTCGATACGCTTGAGAACGGAAGTATTGAAGATGTACATGCCAGCATTAATACGGTTGCCAACGTATTGAACTGGCTTTTCGACGAATCGGTCGATTCGAGAGGGGTGATTGGGCTTGTGGACGACGACACCATATTTTGAGGGCTCCTCGACCTTGGTGACAACAATAGTACCTTCGTCGCCGTGGTTGTTGTGGAATTGTAGTAAGTCCTGGAAGGGATAGTCGCAAATAACATCCGAGTTGAGGACAAAAAAAGGAGAGTCGTCCTTGAGCAAGATCTTTTCCGCTAATTTCAGGGGCCCGGCGGTGTCAAGGGGTTCGGACTCGACGGAAAACTCGATGTTGATGTCGTATTTTTCCTCGTACTAGAAGCATGATCTGTCAGTACTCCAGTCGATTCCAGCCCCTATCACAGGCACCGTCAGAGGGAGAGTCGTGTTGCGACATACCTCTTGCAGAAACTTTTCCATAATTTCGGGTCGGTAGTTCACGGCAAGGATAATGTCTTTGACGCCGGCAGCAACGAGAGCTTCAATCTGGTGGACAATCATGGGCTTGTTACCGAACTCGACGAGAGGCTTAGGAAGGGTGAGGGTCTATGTAGAGTAGATTGTTTGGTTAGTAAAAGATGCAGACAGTTTCGGTTGTACTCTCCGCATGATATGTTTATTCCAGCAAGACTCGAATATCACAGGATGCTAGTAGAACAGCCATTCTCCCAGGGGGGCGCTTGGACAAGGGAGACACACGAGAGGCCGAAGGCGCGTGCCAAAGCCTCCGACAAGAATAAGTCCTGTGGACTTTGTTAGCCTTGTTTAATGCTGGAGGTAGGACACGGTAGCGTCGTAATGAAATAATTTACCCTTCATGATTGCGGATGTTGCGCAAAGAGTGTCTGGGGCTTCAATGTTGGTGCGGAGATGGACGTTGTACGGAGCGCGACACTGGCTATGACGCCGAGAGCGGTGTTGCAACTGCGTGGACGAATCAAAAGGATCAGACTGCGATGGCAGGAGCAAGGCAGTGCAGATAGAGTCAGCGGCTTGTTCGGGGTGAATGAGCGAAAGTGAAGAGTGTGAATCGGAGCGAGAGAAGCAAGGACGGGGAGCTCGAGCAGAGGAGTCGAGACAGGACCCGGGATCGTAAGGTGGTCAAGTGTGTAAATGTATGGACAAGTACGGAGCAGCGACGAGGATGGTGGAGTGTACAGACAAATATGGGGCAGAACGTGGTTTGACGATGGCGGCGCGCACTGACTGGACCAGCCTGAACCCAGCTGTCAGCCCAGAGACTATGGAGTACTCCCACGTCAGGTTCAGGAGGCGGCTTGGGTGGACAGGGAACATGGGCCCCGCCCAGCTCGAGGGTTCACGCTTAAGTAAGAACTGTTCCTGCTGTGTGCGGTCCTTCAATCATGGCGGAGTGTGGAGTCTGTGGACTATCCAAAGCTTCTTCCCTCTGCCAAGCTGCACCCTTGGCCAGACTCGAAGGCAAAGTGGTGTGGTCATGCTTCCACCATGTGCTCGTATCCTGCAGCCGGTGAGGCCAGGTCGACGAGGCGAAGCTACAATCTAGATGCGCGCAGACCGGCGGCATGCGAACCCTTGGCTGCGCCATACCATGACGCCGAGTTGATTCATTTTAGCAGAGAGGCTGGAGGTACCCAGGGAGGCCGCAAACCATCCCTCAGACTGTTGGCCTTTGTAACTTGGCTCCCAGTGAGTTTGTACAAAAAAATGGCTGCCGAAAACGACGGGTTGTGAGACCAGAACAACGCGCCAGCCAGCCAGTCAAACATCAATTCAAACATTCTGCACGTCACTCCTCCTGGTCCTCCCACCCACAACTACTTGTACGTGCAAGGAGAGGGAAGATGGGCAGACGGGAACAGTCTGGGATCTGCATACGGGGTGGCTCGATGCGGCACATGGGACCGAATACTCCCTACACGCATATGGGCAATCGACGTGGCATCCGAATTGGAAACAAAACTCGGACATCAGACGGCTGTCACCAATGCATTGCGGACAAACGGCCCGCTAGGGTCAAACGACTACAGGAAGCGTCCTCACTTCACAAGTTGTTCCCATCGGCGGCTCTTCCAGTTACCTACCCGCGCAGCCCGTGTTCAACGGCAGCTCCTCGTTCGAGTATTGCCAATGCAAGGCGGTCATGATATTAAGCATCATGTACGAAGCACGGCCCGCGGCTGCTTCTACATAATCACCTGCCTAGTAGGTGATTATCCCGGCCGCATGGAGGGCTGCATTCTTCGCCGCGCCTACCCTACCCCTCGAGTGCCTTGGGGGCCATGCACCTAGGAATTTTAGAAGTTGGTGCCTTGAAACAGACCAATGCATGCGCGCGCCTTGATCGATTGATTGATTGACTGGCTGGCTGAGAAAATTACCTCACCCTCGTCTTCCAAATGTCAAGGCTTTGTACTATACATGAATTCCTGCCCGGATACAAAAAAGCATGTAGCAGGAGGCCGTTACCCGTTGCCATAGGGTACTGTACTTGACTTCAATGTTGACTTGACACTTGTCGTCTGCACCTTCCCCAGAATACAAACAAGTAACTACAGAGTATTATATACTTGGCATCACACGGGCCACCTCCGGCTGCAAGCAGCCTAAAGCAGGTACGCATGTACTCTATACTTTGCGCAAAGACCAGGCTTTCTCACGCTCCATCTGTCTCCTCGAGGGGTCCTTCGGGTCCCAGTCAATGACTTGGCAGTGCATGTCTCACTTGAGCCAACTTCGACATTTATTCCGTCTTCGACAAAATGGAAGCCCAGCCTGCCCCCTCACTTATGTCTCAGACAGTCTTGGTCTCCGGCACGAGCATACTACTCCGTACTACCAAGCAGTTGGCAGGCAAGCAGAGACAAAGGGCATCTCAGATATCAACCGCCATCTCTCCCCCCTTTTGGCCAGGTTGCCTGGTAGCATACTTAGGGGCCGCGAGGAGGCTTGGGCCACGCAGCGATATGCTCAAGTGCCGAATGCGCCTTTGAGTCAAAGCCGTGATTTCCGGCCATTTTCTCCTTCGGAATCACCATCTTGTCTACAGACAACAAGCTCGAATACACACCACCACCAACATGCAGCAGCAGCAACATCCATACAGCCGGGTGTTTCAGAAATGCCAACCATTAAAACAAAACTCTTGTGATTGGCGCACCTCTAACCAGCCTGCCGAACGAGCAAGAACTGTTCGTCTCTGAGGTGTCCCGTTACTGCTGCTCCGGCCACACCAGGTATTCTTGGCCTTGTTGTATAGCATTCTATGACGTGGCCATCGCTGCGCCAGGCATGAGAAGTTAGGAGCACCTTGTACTATGTACTCCTGGACCGTCGGCATACTTGACTCTTTTGTTAGCCCATTTATCAATCTGCGGGGAAGACCAACTCCACAACTCACAACTCTTCATTTCCACTCGTTTGGATGCTTGATGTCTTGCTGTACTGCTCCGAACCACATCAACCATCGACATCTGTTTCCATTCTTGGGCCCGAAGACGACTGCCACAGTCGCCGTATTTACCGCCTAATACAAGGCCGCATATCTCTCCTCTGCTGCTTCTTGTCAGATTACCTAGGCAGCGATCGAGAGATGGACCCATGTGACAAAACTTGATTCTAATACTAATAACAAATGCACACGGTTGCCGCCCTATTTCGACAGCGGTCCTGGGACCTGGATAAAATTGATCAGGTCAACCGGCCGACCACTTGGTATCACCGACGTGTAAAGCTGCACACCGCCATCGGCAGCGGGTCGTTGGCGCCGTATTCTTCGATTGGACCAGCCGGCATCCTAGTCGTCATAATGGCACACTCAAGGGCATATTCTCCTTACCTCCTCGGTTCATCCCTTTGACGTTCGACTCAACGAGCAACCACCGTCGCGTGCCGAGATCTCGCAAATCCTTCTACTCGAGCTTTTCCTGGAGGCAATAGTCAAGTCACTCGCACCCTATCGTTGTCTCTGGAACAGATTGTCAATGTCCGCTTATGAAACCCTGCTGTTTGCTCCAACGGCGGACTTGAAGAAAAGGTCATCACGTCCCGCTGTTGTATATACACTTACATGTGTCTTGTGCCTCCACCGCAACAAATACTAGCCGATCCACCGCCCGCGCATTGTTAGTTCTCATAGAGCGTTCTACCAACGTTGTATGCCTCCCATGATGAATGTCCCGCCGCAGAGGGTTTCCATCAATGAAGAGTCCCACGCCAGAACGCCCTGTGTAGAATTTTCCACGCCTCAACTCTTGATGGACCATGATTGTCAATCCTCTACGGCTATAATGCGAACATTGAGAACGGTGCTCAAAACAGCTCTCAATCCCCATGGCCTTCTTGGTGAAACGCAGAATTGTGGAAACCTTTTTTTTTTGGCCCCCAACTTTTGTGTTCAACTTGACATGGTGTTGCACCGTGTCTTACTTGAGGATCCGATCTCCGATCTACAACATCCCTGGTGGCATGGTTGCATGGGTATTTACCCCGAGCATCAAAACACGTCCCTTGATACCTTGCAGGGGCAGTCAAGAATAAATTTGTGACGTAACAAGTACATCACATGTTTTCGATAAAAGGTTCTCTTTACAGGTGATGGGAATTTGAACCCGCATTCTCCAATTGATCAAGGGTGGTGTTCTTGGACAATCACTTCAAGTCCACACAGAACACAGCGAACATGGACAACTAGGCACAAGTACCGCCAGAAAAGGAGCCAGAACAAGTACCGTAGGCGAAAAAAAAAGAGAAGAAGAAGAAGAAACAATCGTAATCGTAATCATTATCATAGAGGTTCTTCGAGTGTCTTACGCATCATCATCATCATCATCAACGTAGTCGCCAGTCAATCTGAAGAACCCAACTCGCGTCGGGCCTTCAACTCTTTCAATCCTTCCTCAACCAGACAAGGAAGGGCATTTTTTAAAGAGCAAAAATCAAAAAGGGCGCAGTCTTGATCCATCGCTCCCAGCCTCCAGAATAAACAGAACAAAAAAAAACATATTGCAGATCCAGAAACCTTGTTACTTCTGCCAGTGTACCGGCACCACCTTCATCATCATCCCTCATTTTGTCGTCATGCATGTAGACTTTTTGGATCCGTTCGCAGGCTATGCAATCAAAACCGAATTGGAAAGAATAGACAAGAGCCGCCATATCGTCTACAAACAAGGCATTACCAGAAACAGAGACAGGCAGTGAGTGGGAGAACGTGAGGGGTTGGCACGGCCGAAAAAACACAGCCGCCCAACCTACACTTTTGCGCAAAGCTCGATTCCCACCGTCGCGCAGTCTTGTTGGCTCACACCCTGGTAGCAAACGTGTTCCCAAAAATCGAAATAATTTGTCAAAGGCTGGTCCTGTTGATAATCCCAGCCATGAGACTGAATGCCCAGAATTGGATAGAGAGCATGAGGCCACTCATCGTGGTCGTTGATCATCAAAGAGAAATTCCAGAATACCATAGGTGGTAAAAAAAAAAGTGCGAAAAGAAAAGTGGGAGGGGTCTTCCAAATAAGACCAACAGTATGGGGACCTGGTCTTCTCCCTCGGAACAAAACCAAGGCCATTTAACTAACGTGATGGGCGTTTCTAAAGTGTTGTCGTTACGTGTCGTCATAAGTCGTTGCAGAAAAGCAAAAGAAAAAATCCCAGACTGAGATCGCTTCTGTCTGTGCGATTTTGTCGAGTAATCCATTTCATCCTTCTCTTTCACCTCATTCAATTCATAACGGACGGTTGCCGGGATAGAATGTGTGGTGTCCGTCTCCGGGATCGCTGTGAAGCTTTTCAACCTCTGTGTATCAGAATGTGAGCATCATAACCAGTTTCCCCCCCGCCGCTGGGATAAATCGAGTGGGCTACGAGCCGAGGCTTCAGTGAGTCCATCACGAGTTTACATGGCTTGGATCTTGATAGCTTTCTACTCGAAGGAAGCGGTGGATGAGCTGCTGGAGTGGTTTCCAGATCGCCGGCCGTGACGCTCGCTGCCATCTCGGGAAGAAGTGTGACGGCTCTTCCGACGTCGACCAGAATCGGAGGTTGCTGGCAGCCCTTGGACAATACCGTTACGGGCCAACATCCCACCGTTCACGGAGAAGTTCCTACAGACCATGAAGGCACGCATTGCGGCGTTCTCCTGAGCTAGGACATCCGATTCGTAGGCAAGGTCCGTCTGGTACTCACGACCATTGACCAGGACCAGGCATGTGTAGCCACTGGTATCTCGGTAGCACTCGTAGGCTGGGTCTGTCCACCCACGGCGACGGCAAAGACCTGTTGTGAAGATTATAGAGATTAGCGCTTCTGATGCGTATAATGAACTTGTATTCCGTCGAACACATCATAACACGCCGCTGGGGGGGCATGGAGGGGTATGGAATTAGGTCAATGCCGCATAAGGTGCTGCATTGGAACCCAATTGACATGCAGGCTGGGTAGGATAACAGCTTTCTGTCATTGAACGTGGTTATGGGACACTGTGGTAGTGATTCCAGATCTGAGAAGGGTTCAAATGGCAGGGGCTGATAGAAGGCAAACGCCTTCTTGGGCTTTATAGACATGATTGGGTGTTTCGAGCATTGTAGTAGGCCTATATCACCGAGGCAATTACAGATTCGTGATGTTACACCTTGAACGGCCGCTGCACGCCGGTCGTTGGTTGTTGTTGGTGTTGCGGCTCTAGACCCCGAATTGAAATGATAGCAGGGGGGAAATTGGGCATAACAATGGAAAACTTGCCGACTTACTCTCCAAATATTGCATGTAAAACCCGCCCATCTTGCCGTTCTACGCCAATGAGGTAATTCAATGTCGCCAACGATGAGGAAGCAGGGGAGGCTGAAGTTGGGAAAGAAATCAACTATCGCCCTCGAAGCCGTGCGGATTTTTTTCGTCAACCGACGCTCACTCCGGGTGGTGAGTAGGTGTCTTCGGCGGCGAAGGAGTATATGGTTGAATGCAAGATGAAGAGCGGCAAGGAGGCAATGGCGGCCAATGGAGAAATGGGAAGCGAGAGTTGAGGCGTAAAGAAGTGCGACCAAATGGGAGGAGATGTGGGAAGGACGAGTAAAAGTATAAGCGCAGAGAAATACTGCAGATTGGGGTTGTGTCTTGGCTGGCCGCTCTTCTCCCTCCGAGATAAATGCACAGTTCGGACCGGGGTGTGTCGAGTATATGGATAGCGGAGAGGGGAGTCGGCCTCGGGCGAGGGTTTGCACCATGCAGTTCAGGGCCACAACGCGGGCAAAACGAGCCACCGACAGCAAGACATGTGTGTTTTATTACCAGCAGAGCTTACTAGCGCGTAACTGGGGGTGTATAAAAAAAAAACACGGAAACGCGCAAACGGAGGCGGATGCGAGCAAACGATGCGGCTCTCGCAAGAGTGTGACCCATATTGATGTGTTGGCGACATGGTTGCCAGTTGATGAAAAACCGCCGGACACTAGGCCGCTCCACTACGGCGGCGCTTGAGGTGGGCGTGCGGTGCTGCGTCTAGTACTCTGTACCGAGTACTCCGTACTCAGGCCCATCTCTCTCTGTGCAGGAATAACAAGGTCCAAGGCAAAGTACTATACAAGTATCAGATCCAGCAAGGGTCCCGGGTCGACAAGAAAATCGTCTCCGGGCCGGGGCCAGCATTAGCATTGGTCGTCGTTTTGTACCGGGCAGTCCCCTCTATCAGGTCCTATATCGACAATCGTTGCTGTTCGTAGAAGGCGAATCTACCCTCCGGGATAGGGTGTTTCGATGCCTTTTCCCCCTTCTTCTTTTACAAATTCCTTGTCAGAAGACCAGAGTTTCCGCCAAATCAGGCCAAGAGCACCTCGGGAGGGCAAATCTTCATACGCCACTACCATTGTTTTCACAGGAGCCGTAAACACAACGAAACAAGAGGTCCAACACCCCTCACAATGTTACTTGTTGTACGTATAGAGCCCGGTATTCCGTAGTGGGGTGGCAAAAGGTAAAAAGGAACCAGAGCCGAGACTCCATGTGTGTGTCGTGGCAGTATTCGCTTTTAGAGGGCTAGTTTTGGTCCTTCGAGCATGGACCCCAACTCGAGACCATGACGATTCCTGGTTGGCTACCACAGGACATGTCTCCAAGATCTCTGAATTGGCGCCACTCATAATGCATCAACAGGCCAAGGCAGTTAGTTTTACCGCTTGCAAGAGTCAACACAAGACAAACTACTGTAAGAATACTTCAGTTGTAAGCACTTGGCTGGCTCCGGCTTTCGCGGGGGCTCAAGAGCAAGGGAACGCTGTGCCCTTCCTTGCAACAAATTCACTTGGAGGGGCGAGGGTTCACCCGGCAGCCGCTGTGGGCGTGGGGATGGCAAGTACTACTACCAGAGCCGGAGGATTTGAGCTGCGTTGTATGTAGTGTGTTTACAGGATTGCGCCCGCGATGCAGAAGAAATAGGACCCCCTGTCCTGAGCCCTTCCAAGTGGCTGGTAACATGGGCGATTCGCTCAAATGACTAACATCCACGCACAGAGTCAGAGCCAGTGTGGACTGCCACTTGGATGGCCAGCGCGTGTTGGGGGATGTCTTCTAAAAGCCATTGTCCAGTCAGAGGCCGGGATAGGTTGGCGTACCAACCAGCGACGAGGAGAAGAAAACCGTCGGTGAGGAGGAGAGCTATCAGCGAGCATCGAACGAGCATGCATGAACCACAACGACCCTGTCGGCAGACTGCAAGTAGATAGGTGGTTGGGGTGGTGGACCAAAAGTTGAGTGAAGTACGTACTCCGTACTCCGTACTATGTTGTCTGGATGTACCACTGGCGAGCCCGGCGGCACGCCCAAAGCCATTCTTCATAGTGCTTTATCCCTGTCAGAGGGGCTGGAAGAAGAGTCGGCAGCGAGCAAATTTGCTGTTGAATGGCCACCGGAAGCTGGGGATCCAGGCTGGGCTTCCTGGCAAAGAATGATAGCATTGTGAGGTTTCCTGTCCATGGACGGTGAATCAACCCTGGCTGATTGGACAGACTCCAAAGCGAAGAGGGGTCGCCATGCTACTAGGCGCGAAAAAAGGCCTGGCCAGAAGGCCTTAACCCTCATGCAATGATGAGTTGGCAGTGCCGCTGGATTGATGGTGTAATAATAAATGGCGAAAAACCGCAGTCCACTCAAACCATCGCTGTAAGCCTCCACGGTTGCGAGCACCTAGTAGTACTTCGTACGGAGTACCTGGCCGCCTTTTCTGGCCCCGAACCCTTGCGGTCGCGTCTTCACAGCGCGGGGTATTCTCGACAAGGACGTCTGCGGCGTTGGAATGTTGCCAACTTGGGTTGTTTGTTATTCTGGTGTTGAAAAACTGGAAAGGCCGCTGTGTGACCAACGAGAGGCCCTCCGACCTCAACTCGATACCAGTCTTCAGAATAGTACGGATGTCGGATTCATGCACCCTGAGAATCATAATTTGGACTTGTTGCCCTGTCCTCCTGCCAGGCCGATTGGCCAATGTCAAGAGTGGGATCCTGGTTAGAAGGTTTGATGGCCGTGTCAAGTTACATTCTTGTTGACTGTTTGATGCGAGAAGCCAGCAAAGCGCGCGCTAACAGAAGGTCTAATGTCCGATGGTGGATGAAACGGTTGCAAAAACAGATACACATCAGACGGCTGTCATTCGACAATTAAAGGGCTTGTTTTCTGAAGCCTTGATTGTAGTACTAGTGATATTCCACGGGTCAATTCCACTTTTGCATGGCTGGCAAGACCCGCTCATAATCACAGCTCCAACCGCAACTACGGAGTAGTACTCACAGTATTAGTCCGTTCACGGCGGCGTAACGCCAGCCAAAGAACCACAGCACATGCCGAGGACGTGGCTGCACCGTATGTGAACTGAGCTGCTTCTGATCACCCCTCCGAATCACTGGAGCGAAGGCTCAGTAACCCGCCCGATGGAGACGGCGACACCGTCTTCGTGAAACATTGCCTGGCGACGGATACACCATATAAACTGAAGATGGCTCCTTGAGCCCCCTTGCCATTTGGGATTGTTTGAGCGTAGCGCAAGCAAAGACCACAGATCAACAGCAACATAACACCCGTACCACGTTGCTGGTTCTCGGGTTGCGGAACGAGCTTTGATTGTGCCGTAGCCTTGGGACAGTATTGTTGCACTGAGCGGAGCTAAAGTCGGCTTGGCGAATCGGGCTCTTCTGACTGTTGCAGCATCGAAGCCCACACCTGCTCAACTGGGCGTAGGCAGTGATTCTGACGGAAAGGCATTGCTTCCAACTGCATCAGCTCTGGCTCATGTCGTCGTCATGACCAAAGGCAACTTGGCGAACGCCCTGGGCCAGAGAAACAGCGACGCAGAGACGCAGAGCTACGACACTGACGCCTTGGACCCATGTGCTGGCATTTGTTGAGAGGGGGGAGCCGACATGGCCGGCCCTTTCTTTGTTGGTCTTGCCCGGGGGGCCACGATGACAATGTCTGCAACTGGATTTGGCTTCCACTCAATTACCGAATCTTGGTCGCGGCGGCGAAATCGATACTACTACTTCTACCCCGTCGTTTGGGGTTCACGGTGCCCCTGTCTGTTCTTCTCTCGTCCTCTGTAGCCAGTCCGTCCATGTATGATGAATATGAACTGCTCGTCATGGTCTTGGGCGAAAGACACCCCCACTTGACATCGAGTGCGAGTACGTCTTAGACACGTCAACATGGACATGCCGAGCACACGACTGCCAGTGGCGGCGACTGCAGCTAAATGAGCCACAGCGTGCAGGTTGCAGAAAATAGTTGAAGAGGTGCAAACTTAAGAAATCGAACCATGCAAGTCACAGTGTTTGAGTTGGAATTGGAAGTACCGTTGACCAGCCAGCGTACCAAACGGGAAAGGACCTGTCGCCGCCTTCAGGAAGGAGCGGCCGCATAATTGCGACGTACCAATCTGGACGTCACCAAAGCCTGCAGTTGAAGGTTCACAACAAACCACTCGTAAATGTACATGTAATCGATGTAATGTTTCTGGGCCCACCATGTCAGCCTTCTCTTTTTTCCATTTTGCCTCCCACGTCTCTATCTCTTGGTCCGCGGCTATCATTTGTACCATCGCCCTCGGCATAAATGCTTTGTGTATTCCCCTTTACAGCAAGGCGGCCAAATATCGGCCATGTTTCAATGGTCAACGAACAATACAGCACCAGTCACATATCATCACTATGCAGGAGATCAAATCCAAATGTGCTCAAGCCTGAAAACGGTATATCTGAAGCAGCCGACGAGCACGAAAAGTCGCAGGCAGGGGGGTGGAGGTACGAGTAGGAGTAAAAAAAAATTCATCAGGTTGCTCGTGTCTTCTCAGAAGCACAGACTCAGAGATGAATTTCTCTAATCAACATATGGAGTATCTCTCCCGTTTTTACCGTTCACCGCATCAAGAGATATATCGTTTACCAGTGGAACGACAGCTAATATAAGATTACGCTACAGCTGCAGTGCAGAGGCAGTTGTGGGTGTGTATAAATTAGCACCAATGCTTCTCTTCACGCACAAACTTGCTGCGTGAGAATGCGGTACTACCTCTTTGCGCTTTTCGATGTGCAAGCCGGTTCGCCACCAATGTAAATATATACACATGTACAGACCACTGGTTCTCCATCGGCGATACCTTGTGCTTGGCCGGCTGCTCATGAACCCGGTGCCCCAAGAGCCGCCGAAAACGCCAGCGATTCTTTCAGGTGGATTCTCCGTCAACAACTCGAATACCGGGTCAGACTCGGCTTATTATTCCAAGCTGTCTGTAAGAACACAAACATCCCGGGCTATGGCTGCGGCCAGATATGCAACCAGATGGGTAAGGTCAGCCCCATTTTATAATACCACTCAACGGACTACTGGCAGGTTCCCACGAACGGTCTCTACAGAAGGGACGCATATGTATGTATGCTGCCTTGAGAGATGGTGCTCTGCCAAGGCCAAGGCCGGCCAAGGAGTAGAGGTACGCATCTAGCCTTGTTTGTGGGATACACACAGATATTTTGCTTCCCTCTCTTGAATCAAGATGAGGTAGACTCCCTGCCGGTTTTGATGTGGGACCTAACATGGCCGCAGGCTTCATCTCAAACATGCAGCCATGTCCCCATTGCCTATTCTGCGCGATATACCTGCCCATCTCAGGCTTTAGGATGTGGGTACTAGGAAGAAGCCGTGTCTAGTCATCTGGCGATCGCCCAATGTGATAGCACACCTTGATATTGTTTCACCCTCTCTGAAAGGAAGTACATCGATCCTGGGTTGAGAGTTCATGTTCTTTGTTAGTCCATTGTCAGACGAGAAGTTGTGACAAGTTGTGCGGCAATAGGTTTCGAGATGGCTCTAAACTTTTTAGCCCAGCACAACCCAGGGTCCATGATGCCCGTCTATTCTCACCAGTAACCAGTCACCCACTTCGAAGCTAAATTTGCAGCCAACGCCACCGGTCCTCGGTATCCTTTCAAGGATGGACTCTCTGTTCTCTCAAATATGCCATCCCCCAAAACAACTTCCTAGATAACACGAGGAAATATACTTTTCTCCTCACTCAACAGATCAGCCCCCTGTCTGGGCAGCTCTTGGCGCGTCGTTGACTTCGGCTCTCCTATTTTCTCAACCTTGGCCTAGAAACCTGGTCTGGACGTAAAATACTGCTGGCAAGCGTCCACTTTATGTTGTGGGATCACATACACAGGGTGTGTTGTCTCAACTCGATCAGACTCTTCAAAGATCTGTTCTCCGGATGTGAATGGAGCAACTGACCATCGATCTCCATCCAACATTGCAGCATCAACACGGGCAGATATCAAGGTCCACTTATGCTGTGCGGAGCTTAGCCCTGACAAGACGTAGCATGTATGGTATGCATCGGAATATCTGCGTGCGTAGTCCCGAATTAGCTAGAATTCCTCATGGTTTGCGGGCGCAATGGGTTTTTTTCCCTCTTCCATTTCCTAAAGGCAGGTCATACTTACTTGCTAGGTTTATCTCGCAGGCCGCCTCGCCTGGAGAGATCTTGACAGCAGCAAAAAATGTAACGAATCAGCCCGTTACGGCTGAAGAGGCTGTTGTCTGGCTGCGTGAGCGGGTGGTCTGCATGTTGGTCCTCTTGCCCCTCCGGTCCTCGCAGGCTGGCCTCGATAAGGGGCCAGCATCCTCCGACCCAGTGACTGTAGCAACCGTCGACCAACTTGTTTGTGCGGCCAGAAAAGCCACCCTCAGGTGCATACTGCCGTGATGACAGCCAAGACAGAAGCCGCGGAACGTCGAGATATCTAGGGTGGGGTAAAGTTTAGTATGCAAAAAGTCATCAAAGCATTGGACATGAAAGTCACACCCCACACAACTAGTACATTCGAAAAGAAGACGCGGATTCGCACGGCCGCCTGGGCAAAGCTTACTTTGGAATTGTTCGATGTGGAGAATCGAGAATAGACAGGCACCCCAGAGCACAAAAGGCATATGCACCATGGGCCTCGAATCCTGGAGATGCCGACACGCCTCCCTCATACGTTTGGCCTAGGGAGCAGGACAAGTACCGTCAGATGCCGAGGAACAAAGGTACATGGACGGAATAACAATAACACAGGGAGGGAGACGAGGGAGGGCGTGCAAAAAAGAAGACAGAAAGCGGACATACATCTTCCTACCCATTCTGGAAGACCTCCAAAGAGATCAGTGTGCCCGGCACTGCATGCAGGAGAGTCGGACGACAGGTCAAGGGGAATATTTAGCAGCGATATGAGTACGCTTGCGCAGTAGGCTCCTCTGTTCCAAGAGGGAAGAAGAAAGAATGACGCTGTTAGGACGTGGTGCCACGACATCTGGATCGGGACAAGGAGGAGGGCAGAGGAACGGATGACACAAAGACTCACCTCACGTCTTCCTCACCACCCACGGCCATTTGGAACCCCCCATCGGGTTGCTTAAGCGAGCAGAGCCATTTCCACATGCTCCTCCTGTCAACCAGCTCATAGGCCTCGTCCCCGCCGACCAGAGCCAGCGACAGGACGGCTGCATACGTGGTGGCAAGATGGGAAGTCTGGCCAAAGCCTCCTGCGAAGCCCCCCGTCTCATTCTGCATGGGTCGCACAGTTTCGATGAGCCTCGAGCGATATCCAGCGACATCTTCACCGAGAAGAGACAGTCCGGCGAGGCACCAGTAGAATATCCACGGCCGGCTTGGGTCCGCACCCTTGAACATGGAGGGCAGCAAGCCCAGCTGCTTCTGCAGGAATTTCACATGGCGATCCCGCAGGAGCGGAGGTATGCCGTGGGCATTGCAGTTGTCGTGGCCGTAGCCCGTCAGAAACGGCATGCACTCCTCCACGGTCTCGTCCTGGATCTGCGAGCTGTCCGTGGCCAAGGCATCTCGGATGGGGGGTTCTGAGGTGAACAAGCCGGGGATCGAGGGAGCCAATCCAACATGTCCCTCGTCACGCGCCAATGAGGACTCTCTGCTCTCGGAGTCGGCGGCGACAGGAGATCGTGGTTGCGGAGCTGCCATGGCCGCCATTTTCTTGTCGTGGTGCTTGAAGACGACCCTATGTCGAGTGCGACTGTGTCGAGGTCGAGCTTTCATAGCCGGCACCGCCGTCTTTCTTCTTGGCCCGTCTTCCCAGAAAGAAAGGTCGTAAACCCGAGGAGACCTCGGCAACTAAATAATGTTTCGTGGCATAGCCTACGCAGTCGCCTTTTGTTCAGTGTTCAGCCCGTTTTCTTCTTTGGTGAATGGCGTAGATGGCGGCTGTTGTGTCAATATCGTCACGTTCAACTGGCTTGGCAGAACAATATGGAAGCAGCGCCGTTGCCAAGGTCATTGTTCCTTCGGGAATTGATCGGGTACCAATTTGGGAGGGGCAGCTTGTACTACCGCAACCTTGGACCTTGGCCGCTTTGGTGGGTAGCACAAGAGGTTTTATGGTACATGTAAGTACGGAGTACGTACGAATAAGGGCAACAACTAGGTTCCAACGTGGAATAGGTTTGGATCTGGATTTGATATTGTTTTCGTCGCTCGCCCACGGTTTCGGGTTAGACGCCGACATCTCGGCCAATGGGGTGCCGTACGACTATACATCTCATATGTTGTTGTTGCACGACCCATTCATTGTCCATCGCCGCAAGTACCAGTAGGCGTTTCGACTGGAAATATTCCCATATTTGGCCATATTTGGTTCAGCTGTTGTCCTGCGTAAAAAAAAGGACAGCAAAAGAAAAAAAAAACTGTCAGAACTTATACTCGGAATAAGTTTGTACATTCGTCTATTGCCCTCACAAGCCCAGTCCATCATCATTGTCATAAACCACAATTATATGCCAAGAATGTACTCTGCGATTTGTGAACATTGTGATTCGGTCTGAAAATATGCCTAGGGTAGCCAACTTTCACCTGTACCAGACTCGTGGGGGGAGACGTTGCCATTTAAACTTTCCGGGAAATCAGATACATCATACGGCCTGGTCCAGTGTCCATCGTGAATGTGGATTTATCTCGACATGGCCGTTTTTTGCAGAGTCCCAAAATAACAGAAATCCATCGCCCCTGTCCCATCCCGATGGAAATAGAGCTTCTGAAAAACTCCATCGGAGCTACTCCGTACAGGGTAGCTGCCTTTGCAGCGCCGCAGATGGTCGAAATACCCCTCTATACGCGCTGATAAACGAAACGCGCTGATAGACGCGTCTTCCCGAATGGTCACATTGACGGACTTCGGATAGGCCCGGGTCAGTTGTGACAGGCAGGACATCCACAATTTGCTACTCGGTACGTCGAGTGCTGTGACGACGTGGGTTTTACAAAGTAAGCATTGAATCAAGACAACCGTCGGGGCTCCGCGCAGCATTTGCGTCAAATGGCACCGTTTTTGCACTCAAAGCAACCCTGTGTGTGAGACTCCGGGCTTCCTGTCTCAGATAAGTGAGCACGTGGACAACATCGTCTGAGCAGGGTAGAGTTTAGCACCGCCTGTGGTTTGCCCATGTCTCAGACGGGATTTCCCTATTTTGCCCTTCGCCATTTGTGACATGCCCGGCTTGTCTTCTCTGCACGGAGTACCGGTCTGCCTGCCGACGCTGAGGCGCGACAAGTTTGTTCGATGTCGGTTCGGGGCCGGTGGCTGAATAGCTCCGGGATGGCCCATGGCTGGGGGACAAGGGACAAGGCAAACATCCTTGACGACAGATTTTTTTGGTCCTTGGCCCTAGCTTTGCACGCTAATAGTATGACCAGGCTGTTTGATCGCCAATTATTCCAGGGTCGATTTTAGCAGCATCTGAGAGAAGCTTGTCCTGTCTCCATCCCGGACGGACTGCAGGGCGGCCCAGGCGATGGCGATGCGGGAAAAAAAGGAAAAGGTCATCTGAAGGAGCTTGCTTGAACATATGTACTACATACTCGAACGGAGCCGAGCGCAGTGGGCTGTTTCACTGCAAAATTCAAACGGTTCTCAGGACGAAACACGCCAGGCGCATAGCTGCCCAATGGCATTGAACGAGGAGGCAGCTATGTTGAGGGTTGAACGAGACAATTTTACTTGCCCCGGACACAGCCGACAGTACGGGCTTGCTTGCGAACGTGATGAATACAGATCGAGTACCAATCATTCATTGACTTGAGATACTATGTACAAGGGTCAGCTTGGGTGATGCGGATGTCGTGAGTCGTGACGACCACGTTTGCAGTCCAAGCACATGGCGTTCTCTATTGTAAATTGCAATACAAAATGGCGGTTCAGCTGACCCCTTTCATTCACTGATGACGATATGGCCATGGGCTGTACTCCTTTACAATGAGCCCGGACAATGTCAGCCACAAGGGTCCAGGTGTTAAAAAAAGAGAGGCAAAATTAGCGTAGGTCCTTCACCGCAACACGAGATGCCGTTCGGCGACAACCTGCCGGATGGGGCGAAGGATACCTCTCAGCGCACAAGTGCTGCGTAGTAGGCCTGGCATTGTAGCATCGACGGCGTAAGAAGACTGCAAGTAGGGTCTTCGTTTATAAGTTGCTGTGAGCCTTGAATACTCATGCCATGCATTTGCTTCATTGCATTGTTGAAGACGTCATTGAAGGTGGATTGACTGGCTTCGGCCTCGGATCCAAATAATGCGATTGGTGGGCGGTAACTGTATATCTCGTCTCAGCAAGTCTCATTTCCCGTCTCGCTTGGTCTTGCTCCAGAATTCCTCTTGAGATGTACGGAGTATACGCGGGCAGGCCGATACGGCGGCCAGCTCAGCAGTTATGTTATGTTATTATAAGCATTATTATGGAGAGCTGGCGAGTCGGGCGCAGACAATGGTGAACTTCAGCCACCAATTTGCTCCGTAATGCTCTCGTGGCGCCACATGCGCAACAGGGAGTTCAGCCATCCTGTCGTGACATTCATGAGAGTTCCTTTTTCCTTGTTCGTTTTCCCTACAGCAAGACATAGCTTCACGCCCAGCCTCCCTACCCAGCCGCCTTGAGAGGAAGCAGGACAGCGATCGCGGGGAAACGAGGTCCTTGACCATTGACAATTGATTAATGATGGGTGATTGACTCAGACAACCTGCGTCTTATATTAGTACGGCCCACACTTTGCACATGTGGCCGATGAGAGCGTTGTACATACATTCCGATCTATTACCCGCAAGAGCAGACGAGGGCAAACCCCTGACGAACATGGTGTTTTGCTGGTTGGAATGGAGACTCGACTGATGTGCCGGGTACATCATTGTGTGTGCCACGGGCATCTTCTGACGTGAACCGGGGGCCAAGGACCGCCTTATCTGACGTATGTTACCCGAACGGTTTGCTTAGCTGGGGCAGCATGAATCAATGCTGTTCGAGCGTACAATAGCGCGGGCATTGCTTTGCATATTCGTTGTGCACATGTGGAGGGATGTAACAGGGCTTTCCCTGCAAGTGGTTGAAGTACGGAGTACGGAGTACTAGCAGTATCGCATCTATTCTTTATAGCTCATAGGACGCAACTTGAAGGTGTGACAAAAGGATGATCTGTACGGCCGTTATTCTGGTTGTCGGCGGCAAGGCCGTGCAGCGACGTTGCATCATCTGCATATAATTGCTCCTAATGCATAGAATATACACATACAGCAGCCGCGGAACCAAGGGGACGCATGGCGAAATGGACATGTCTTTGAACGAGGGGTTGGATCAGCTCCCTGACTTCCGAAGCTGGTGTTGGGGAGTGGATAGAATGCTCTCCATACCATGAGCTATTACTACTTTATCAGGTGACGGCTCAGTGCTGTGTGAAACTCATTGCAAACCCCCGGACGAGTAAAAAAAGCAATATCTGAAGCAAGGAAGCTAGTAGCGCCGTGAGTTGTCAAGACAAGACTGGCAAACGAGAAGAGCTCGTCCAGAACATTGTATAACAGAGAGCTCAGCCTTGAGCTGGGATCAACCTGGCATCCACATCGTGCTCGTCAGCTGCTACTGCATGTTGCATTGACCGTGATGAACTGTGTGGGATGGAGCGAGCGTGGCTGCTGGCTGCGTGGGCATCAGGCATTCGGCCGTGGCTTGTTGTTCAACGTGGTATGCTCTGTGTGTGTGTGGGCTAATGTGCTCGAGTGGGTTGTGGATGTGTTGGGCTCGGGTTCGACGACGTTGGAGGAGAGAGACCAGTGGCCAGGCTGGGAAGATGGGACAGGATACAGGATGCGGTGGCACCCACTGCCAGCGAACCGCCCGTGCCGGCATTGATAGTGTACAGTACGGAGTATGAACTAAGCGAGGGGCACTGTAAAGGCGTCGCAGTGTCTCGTAATGCTCCCACTTGAAATGTTTACCGAGCACCCCGTTCCCGAGTAGAAAGCTGACACAATTATTACTGGAGGACTCTGCCATAGGCTCCTAGGTACCCGAACATTGAAAGTAGGCAACTTTTCAAGATGCTCCCCGTGCCTGTATTTGCAAGTACTCTGGCTGATCCATCTGCGCGGGCGCGTCAGGACAACTGCGCTTTTTAAAGTCGAGTACGTTTGCTACACAGTGTCCCCATGCATCTTCGGAGCGTGGACCACACCGTGATTGGGAGGCTGGGCCATTCGGCCACATCTGGCCACGAATCTGGTCACGAATCTGGTCATCATGTCCTCCCAAACACCAACGACTCCATCTGATGGCACCTCGAGACTTGGCTCGCTGGACCGTCTCTGGATCGCCCGCAAGGCTCTCCACCGCGGTGCAGATGCACAGGCGCCAACGCCCCCCACCATTGGCTGGTTGGTGCGGCCCGGGGCTGGAAGAGCTCACCGCCTCTTCAACCCCCCTCCCCGCCGGCCCCTTCCCCATGCCGCTCACATTCCCGACGCCCACAATCGTCTACCACCACCAGTACCAGCGCCAGCACCACCACCGACGGTGCATCTGCTGCCTGTCCGTCTTTGTCGAGCACCCTCGCAGATTCCCGCAGAGCCACATCCAGCACGCGGCCTGGTCTGCGGGTTCCTTCTGCTTCACTCCCGGGCCTTCTTCCTCCCTCTTGCTCATTTTTGCCTCCTTACACCTCCTCTACCAGGGACTTCACGAAAGAGCGGTGTCACCCGCTCGCCTCTACAATATCACCGCCTCTCGCAACCAATCTCTGCTCTCAATTTCCGTCAGCATGACCCTCGACTTCAACACCAATGGCGGGGGGGAAGCCTTGATCAATCTGAATTTCGATCAGCACCACCGAGACCAAACCGCTTATGCATATTCAACGACACCGGCTACTTATCCAAGCCCACCAACTGCCTCCGGAATCATGACCAACACCCGACCCTGGACCTTTCCGGTCGATATGGCCTCGAGCAATCCACAGGCGACCTCAACCGCCTCGCCCGAGGACCATCAAGGGAGTTCACCGTTGTCTCATGCCTCGAGTCCGCAGAGCCAGCACTCCCCGTTGCAACAGTCTCCTTTTCAGCCCGCCGCCAATCCCTTGACTGACTGGGCTCTGCAACAACAGCAACAGCGCCATCAGCAAGCCGCGGCGGCGCACCAGCAACCTCAACAGCCATTGCCTGCCCAGGATCTGGCTCAATTTATCCAAGACAGTGCTCTCCTCGGCTTCAATGCCTTCCCTCAAAACTTTCAGCCCAGTCCTCTGGACTATCTGCCGCCCACGACACAAGCCGCATTGCAAGCCAATCTCTTAGAATCGCCTTTTACATCTATGCCCCCTATGGAGGAAACTGCTCATGCTATGCATTGGGGAAGCAGTGGAATGGACAACTGGCACGACTTTCAGAGCACCTTGCAGATGGACGGCCTGCCTCGATTAGACAGTGTCGGCAGCAATTCACCAACTGGAACCTATCTGGAAGTTCTGTCCCTCCCCTCATCGTCTGGAGAAGGGTGGGCGATGGTTGACTGGAGTCACCATGGATTGGACCACTTCCAGCAAGCTCAAAACGCGGCCATTTTTAACCCTGGTCAGACTTTGCATCTGAGGACGAACTCGGACTCCTCAGAAGGTGCCAACTCAATGGAATTCGGTAGCTTCGAGGAGATTCCACGCTTCCCGTACTCGCCCTTCTCACCGGAGTCGGATGGCTACGCCGATCAAAATTGTAACCACAACCATCGTAATTGTGTTGCCGAGACTCGCAACCACACCCTTGATACAGTCAGCCCCACCGCCTCTGTCGCTCCCGTGGCCACCAAGGTTGAATCTTCATCCTCGGTTCGCCATAGCCCTGGTAGTGGTGCCGGCTCTGTATCCCCGGCATCCACCACGACTTCGAGAAGGAATTCTGGACCTCGCAAGAGCCCCATTACAAAGACAACCACTAAAACAATTATTCGTCGATCATCTAACGGCAAGAAAGACGGCACTGTTGAGAAGAAGGTTGGACGGAGAAAGGGGCCCCTTCTACCGGAGCAACGAAAGCAAGCCAGCGAGATCAGAAAGCTGAGAGCTTGCCTTCGCTGCAAGTTCCTTAAAAAGACGTGTGACAAGGGCGAGCCTTGTGCTGGTTGCCAACCGTCGCATGCCCGACTGTGGCAGGTTCCGTGTACGCGCATAGACATCAAGGATATTGGCTATTTCATGAAGGATTGGAAGGCTGACTATGAGAGACATGTCGATCTTGGCATGTCGGTCTACAATGTCAAGGGTTTCTCCTCCAAAGAGACTCTGATGTGGATTACCCACGGATATGGCTTCGCCCTTCCTGTTATGGTTCGCGAAGTATATGTCGCAGATGAGGGTTGCTTCTCTGTCGAGTGGGTTGAGTCGACTGTTGCCCATCAGGACCCTATCGACTTTGAAACTCGCACGGAGAAGCTTGACGTCGGTGCTGAAGGCATTCGTCTTGATGCCCTGCAAGAGTATCTCGATAAACACGTCGATGGGCCATTTGAGGACTTTATTGATGACCACTTTGAAGGAACCCCATTCATTACGGAAATTCTCAAGACAGCTCACCGCTACTACGTCAAAGACAGGATGCCCGTCATCAAGAAGGCACTGAAGCTTGTCCTGGCTTACAATCTGACGATGCACATCACCATGGTCGAAAACCAAGGCTCCGAGGTCACCCTGGATGGCCAGATTGACGATGAAGACTCCAAGTTTTATGGCCGCACCGTAGCACCTGTCATGATCAACTTCCAGATCAAGTGTGCCTTGGCGGACATGTGGCGTGAGCTGCAAAAGGATATTCTGGAGGAACTGTCTGCATTATACTCGGGCGTTTATAGTGGCGAGAAGATGAAGAACTGGCCGACCATCTTTATGCTGGCTTCGATCCTCCTTGCCGTTTGGGAAGAGATGCAGTTTGACTGCCACTACCGCGTCCCTGATCCCGCGGCGGTGAACAAGTTTTGCCACGATATGGAGACGACCCCTGTTGGCGTTATTGTGGGCCTCTTCCACGCCATCTCTCAGAAGTTACCCGCCTTCACCGACTGGGACACCAGACAACACGGCCACCTCCTTCATAACAACGTCTCTGTTTGTGAGGCTATGACTGAAGTTCGCCAACACGTCATCAAGCACGGTAAGTTGCAGAGATCCCCCCTTCATAAGCACAGTCTAGGTTTTGCTTCAACCAGTTGCTAATATGATATGCTGTCCAGAGGCCTACCTGCGTACTCGCAAGGAGCAGACCAAGTTTGATCGGTACGACTTTGACTCATTGTCGAACAAGTTCTTGTCCAAGCTGGTCATTCGCGCCAACTAGGTACAATCTGCTTCGGTGTTCATCAGGCCACTGGCAGTGGACTGCTTTATTTCCTTTGTTTTTGCTTGATTTACTCGTTGAGTATGGATATGCCAACACAACACCGCTTGTGCTACAGCTAGCGACGGCGTTTTTTTTTTTTTTTTGACCAACTTGTTTTGAGCGATGAAAGCCACCGATATTTCACCACGATGAGGGTAGGGCAACAATTTTTTCTTGTTGCGCTCTTGTTTCTTTCGGATCTTCACTTCACGGCTGGTCACCGTATCATGACACGACGTTACCTGATATACGGTGCAAATGTGTTACGACCCTGTAACGAATGTCTTGCACGATTGTATGATGTTTTATTTTTTATTTTTTGAATTTTGGGAAGCGATAGTGACGAAAGCTGATACAGAGCACGGTTTGTTGTTGTTGTTTTTCTTGCTTTAGATGTTGGATGCATCGATCAAAGCCAGAGAGTGATGCATTACGTATTTCTCTGGCGGCATGTCGACATGATGTTTGGACAGGATGAACGACGATGTGTGGAATTATGGAAACAAGAAGACGGGCACAATGTTGCGATATAGATGATGGAATGAGAGCATCATATTAAGCGAAATTGGGAGGCTTGGATGACGGCACAACCAGCCTTGTTGGTCCACATTTGCATTGCACGTAGTTTAGTATATACTAGCATAAATAATGTCACGGAAGCGTTATTTGCGAATACAATTCACTAGGTTGGTATATCTCATCTGCCAACGCTCGCTCAAGGACAATATGATTGAACAGCAACCGTACTCGATCGCGTAGTTTGGCGTCGTCGTGAGGGTTGGGCATACCGGCATGCGTTGGGACATGATGCAAACACCCGAAACGCATCACAAGACCCCAGGTGGTACACATGTTCCCAATGCAGTTTGACGTGCATCAAAAGACGGACACTGGCAGTGTGTTGTGCACTTGAGAATTTGCGGAGCCGGGCACTAGACGCCCGAGTATTCAACGTGTACAGTCAACTTGCACCAGACATGTTCCGAAGAAAGGGTCTGACGATTTGTAGCACCGACTGTCTGTCCCACCTGGGTCCTTGAAGCCCCTCCCCCACATGGCACTGGTGACAACCTTGTACGGAGTAGAATGCCAACATTGAACATCCGACGCGATATTGGGAGACTCTAAGAGCTTATATTATAAATTACTTCACTGGCCATCGCAGTCGTATACAGCATTTGTACATACGGCGAGATGGCGATGGACTTTAATGTTTCGTTAGGTAAGGTGCCCCCCCTTCCCCCTGCACAGATGACGTCGGTACTGGTGGCTGTCATCAGGAGTTTGAGGACAGCCTTGAGCCCCGCAGCAGACCTGTCTCTGAACGAGGGAATTTCGACTTGATTAGATTGGTTTCAAGTCAACAATGCTTGCTACGAACGCGGACAAACATGTGAGAGAGCAAGACAAGCCAACGACCACGGGTGCGCTTGCAGAGTTACCGTCGTTTTGTGGTCTGAACAGGCTGTCGCCTCGCCTTGGGGTGGACTGGAGGTTACTCCGTACGGAATACGGAGCCAACAACTCCGATAAGGTACCTAACCATGAGCCACATGACTTCCATCCTCAGACCCGCCACGTTCCGCCTCTCTTCTGATAAGGACGACGGGTTGGATTGCTGTGAGTCAGCGTCAGGAAACAAAGCCGCGATCATGGAAACAGAGGCTGAACAAAGCTTCTGGCAAACATGCTGCGTTCCGCGTCATCGCTGTGTCTTCAAGTGGTGTGAAAAGTCTGTCTGTGGCTTCTGTGTCAGACACCTGCATCCGGATCCCCGACATCAAGGTTGAGCAGTCGGATCCACCGAGGACGGTGTTCACTGATGTCTCTGGTACGCCCTTGTCGCTTGGTTGTGTGCAAGGAAAGCAGTTCGCCCGCCCGTGCCTGCTTTGCAGTCAACAGTGTGCAGGTGCTTCTGGAGTCTTCCAGGAAGTCCAGTTGGCGTTGGTGTTGAGAGAGGTGGGAGGAGACACGACCCCGCTATGATTGGCTGTTCTTGCTGATGAATCATGCGCTACTCCGTATCGTGCTGCCTACTTCGGGGTACGGCTGTGCAAGTACCTATACTTGTTGGACTGCCGCGTTTGTGAAGGCGTAATCCAGCCGCTTGGTTGTCACTGCGCCCCGCTCGCCGTTCGACTGCCCGCGTTTCGCCTCGCCTCCGTCTTGCCATCCGCGGCCTTGCCCCTACTTAAACTCCTCTCGCCTTCTGCCATCTTGACCCTGCTTTCTCCCCTTGTCATACTCTTCTCTCCCCCATCACTCTCCACCGCATAACTTTACCTAACGTCGCTCGGCGACTGCCTCTTATCTCTCAGATCGACAAACACTCAAAACACAGCGACATTCACCTGACGGACGCAGCCATGCAAATCTTTGTCAAAACTCTCACGGGCAAGACCATCACTCTTGAGGTCGAGTCGTCCGACACCATCGACAATGTTAAGTCGAAGATTCAGGACAAGGAGGGTATCCCGCCTGACCAACAGCGCTTGATTTTCGCTGGCAAGCAGCTTGAGGATGGCCGTACCCTGTCGGATTACAACATCCAGAAGGAATCCACCCTTCACCTCGTTCTCCGCCTTCGTGGTGGTATGCAGATCTGTGAGTAGCATTTCCTCCATTCTCCTTCTGCTTGCAGAATTCTCCTTTGGAAGTCACTAACAATCTCACGCAGTCGTCAAGACCCTTACCGGAAAGACCATCACTCTTGAGGTCGAGTCATCCGACACCATCGACAACGTCAAGTCGAAGATCCAGGACAAGGAGGGTATTCCTCCTGACCAACAGCGCCTGATTTTCGCTGGCAAGCAGCTTGAGGATGGCCGCACACTGTCCGATTACAATATCCAAAAGGAGTCCACTCTCCATCTTGTCCTGCGACTTCGTGGTGGTATGCAAATCTTCGTCAAGACTTTGACTGGAAAGACGATCACATTGGAAGTCGAGTCCTCGGACACGATTGACAATGTCAAGTCAAAGATTCAGGATAAAGAAGGCATTCCTCCCGATCAACAGCGTCTTATCTTTGCCGGTAAGCAGCTCGAGGACGGCCGAACGCTGTCCGATTACAACATTCAGAAGGAGTCTACTCTCCACCTTGTCCTCCGACTACGTGGTGGTATGCAAATTTTCGTCAAGACGCTCACTGGCAAGACTATCACATTGGAAGTGGAATCCAGCGATACTATTGACAATGTCAAGTCAAAGATTCAAGACAAGGAAGGCATTCCCCCTGACCAACAGCGTCTTATCTTTGCTGGCAAGCAGCTGGAAGACGGTCGCACCCTCAGCGACTACAATATCCAGAAGGAGAGCACCCTGCATCTCGTTCTCCGTCTTCGTGGCGGCCAGTAGTTGATTGGACGATGAATGTTTGATAATTGATTTCATGGGATGCTTCCGAATGGAAGCGGTATAAGGCGTTTGTGGTTTAATGGCACTGGCAACCGGGCTTATTCGCTTTATACCTTAGCTAGGCATCTGATCATCTGCGTGAGTTCAATTAAACACGCCGAATACAAGTCACTTTATATTCTTGCTCAAGGTGTTGATGACATGTGTGATTTGCCAAATTTGATATGTGCAGACTCAATTTCAGTCTATGATGCAGAAGTAGGCGGCCGCCCGCGTCGTTAGTTTGCCAGTTGTGGATTGAAGTGGTCATCTATGATGTGCTTGGTAAACTCTTAGGTATCAAAAGCCTACTTAAGTACCATGTGTGTCTGGCCATGCCGTAGCAAAAATATTCGCCGCGCCCCGAGCCGTGTTTAGCATGGGGAGCAGAACTGCGTTAGATTCCTAGATCCGGGATTCAAAGACAGTAAGAGACTAAAGAAATAGACCGTCTACGCATCGTGACGCGTCAGACGTACCAGCACAATCAGTGCAGCGCCGCGGCCCGCTAACCAAGGCCATCTCGCGATAGCCTCAGCCACCGTGTTCATGGAAGCAAGCCTTGCATGTTGTAGTAGTTTGTCCGCGCGCGTATGTACTTATGTATTCCGTACTTAAGTACCCTGGTAATCAGTGTTGGGGTGTGGTGGGGCATTTTCTGTCTGGCATGCGTCGCCTGACTAAACTTACTTCAGTACCTAAGTACTCCGCAGTATGCGTTGGTATAGCTATAACTTCGAGCCTTCACCTCCTTCAATTTCTTCAACCTCGTCGCACTGTCGGCTATGTATGTATAATTCGCCACGAAGCTATGAATTCCAAAACGCTGCAACTGGGAATACAGGAGCCACTAGGATTGCCTCTGCCACCCTGATACGCGGCGAAGTGTGACATTGCCACCCGATCTTCCACTTTACTCCCAGCACATCTACGAGTATCCAGCATTCAAATCAAAGTCTGTTCGCGCTGAAACCATCATCGCATACGCCAGCTGGTGCTATAGGCCATGACTTCTTACTTTTATCATTTAAAGTTTGAACTGTACCCTACACCGAACCCGACAGGCGCAAGCGGTGATCAACAAGCTGAACAAGCCCACCTTTGGCTGCCATCGCCAGATACCAACGTCTTTGACGACTTGCCGTCGCACCCACACCCAGTTCGACCAGCGACTGGAGCTGTACCGTCATCCGAAACTTCTCATAGCTTCTCTGCCGACGGACCTTGCTCTTCCTTGGCGTCGAGTTCTTTAGACAGCTTGCCCGACGGCGTGATTGACTGCGGCGTGTCGCGTGCCCCGGTTCGCCGCTCCGACAAACGACTTGAAATCATAACCGAGAGACAGTGGCTAGAGCGGGTGAATAGCTACCCTCCTCCACCGTCTAGCGCCGCCTTGCGCCCCCAGACTGCCGTCAAGGACTGGCGTTTTGGCCGGGTGAATATCGAGACTATCGACCCGGCTGCCGCCGGAGCTGCCGTGGGAATGGCAGGAGAATCGAGTCGAGCCGGCCCATCTGCGGCACCGGCTCTTGGCCCATCGTACGGAGGGGAAGGAACAGCTACAAAGGCCAGTTTCATACCGTGTGAGACCAAGAATACAGAAGTGGGATGGGGCGTCGTTCACTTTTATCGTGAGGGTGATGAGACGACTGTATTTGGTGCTTCTTTGCAAGAGCAAGGGCAAGAAGAAGAGCAAGAAGAGACTTCTTCTTTGCAAGATTGCACTACGTTGTGTATACCTGCTGTGCCCGTATACATGTCGCCCAGCGACTTGTTGGGTTTTGTGGGTGAACGATGGCTTGAAGATATTAGCCACTGCCGAATGGTCATGACATCAAGTATGAATAGGTATTTGGTTTTGTTGAAGTTTAGGGACAGCAGGTTTGCAAAGAAGTGGAAGAGGGAGTTTGACGGCAAGGTTTTCAACTCGGTTGAGGTATGTCTGCCTTTGTTTTTTTTTTGTCTGTCGTCGAGGAGACATGCTAAGTGTGATTCTAGCCGCAACCATGCCACGTTGTATTTGTCAAATCTATAACATTCGAGACACCAAAGTTGTCTCAACGAGCTGACTACTCCAAGGCTCAGTCATCTTCTTCTGCTGTCTCTAGCAGCCTAAAGCCGTTTCCGCCACCGACGCCGAATCTGATTGAGCTTCCCACCTGTCCCGTTTGTTTGGAAAGGATGGATGAGACCAGTGGACTGCTGACAATTCCATGCTCTCATATTTTCCACTGCAACTGTTTGCAAAGTTGGAAGGGATCAGGCTGTCCCGTCTGTCGGTTCACGAATACGTCAGAGTTGGAAGGCACTCCCAACGATCCGGCCAACCCGTACTCACAGCCATTTGGATCGTCGGTATCAAACCTATGTACAGTATGTGACTGTGCAGATGATCTGTGGATTTGTCTTATATGTGGCTACTTGGGTTGTGGACGATATAAAGGCGGCCACGCAAAAGACCATTGGAAGGATACGGCGCATAGCTTTGCCCTAGAACTGGAGACACAGCACGTGTGGGATTACGCTGGCGATCTATGGGTACACCGACTTATTCGTGATAAAGGCGACGGCAAGGTTGTAGAATTGCCCAACAGAAGCAATCAGAGCGGGCGTTCTCTCGATGAGGATGTCGTACCTCGAGCGAAGCTCGACAACATTGGTCTCGAATACACACAACTTCTAATGAGCCAGCTCGAGTCCCAAAGATCATACTACGAAGAAATGCTTAGCAAAGCCGTCGACAAAGCCGCAAAGGCGGCGGCGGCGGCAGAATCCATGGCCTTGCAATCATCCGCTGCGACAGAAAAACTCAATGAACTGGAAGAAAAGTTCAAGTCCTTAACCGCCGATACTATCCCGCAACTGGAGAGGGACTTGGAACGGGAACGCAACAAGGCGTCCAAAAGCGACAAGCTGGCTCGGAATATGGGCAAGTCTCTTCAGGAGGAGAAGCGTGTCAACGAGGGACTCATGAAGAGGATCGAGCATCTGGGCAGTGAGAACGAGAAGGCGATGGAGCAGCTTGGGGAAATGAAGAGCGAAGTGGAAGAGCTGAAGGAGATGAATAGAGATTTGAGCATGTTTATTTCAGGGCAGGAGAAACTCAAGCAATTGGAGAACGAGGGCCAGCTTGAGGAGGGAGAGCTGCAAGAGGGGAGCGCCAGCGTGCCGGAAAAGAAAGGGAGGAGGAGGAAGCGGTGATGGTGCGAAAGCGAGGCGTATTGTTGCCGTGTTATAGATGTGTTGTCGTTGTTTTGGATCCTGCGAGAGTTGCCAACTGGTATTATTTGGAAATTGCGAGTTCCATAAAGCGATTGTATTGACACATGGACACAAGTAGACAGCGAGAAGGGATGGCAATCGGAACAGCCTCCCACAACCTTGGCCGGCAGCATGTCTAGGATCAGACCGTTGCACCCTTTCGTATCAGCGTTTGACGGAAACAAGTCTGCTCGGTTGGCTGGCGTGGGTGAAACCCCGTCTCTTGCTCTACTGAGACCACGTATGGAAAGGTTCACCAGATGTCTTGGCTAGCGCGAACGGTTTCTGAATTTCTTTTTTCATCCTCTGATTGTCCATCGAGCCTCAATTGACATGTGCTTGTGAGATCTTGCTCATCAGCACGTGCTTATGCCGTGCCATGCGAACGTCATCACAGGCTGCCGAAACCACCGAGCCGCCGCCGACCGGGGGCGTGCTCACTAGGGGCAAAATTTAACTTGAGCCAGGAACCACTGACAGGATCTGAAGTATGGAGTGAAAAGTCGAAATTGCGCACTTGATGGCTGACAGCTCGGCCCTAGGTTCGGCGGGCCCGCTACGGAGCACCAAGGTTGCGAAAGTTGGTTGGGCACGGAGGGTCTGCCATTCGGTGTGAGGAACAGGGGTGAGGCATCGGGATAACAGAGTGACATCTGGACATGGTGTGCGTCCACGGCGTGAGAAATCGAGAAGGATTCACGATAACCCGGTGCAAGTCCGGACAAGCCGTTCCATCTTGGCGGGGCAGACGAATTGATTATCGCGAAGGGGCTCCCTCTCGTATACTCCGAGTTGGTAAGACGAGGCCCGAGGCTTACACGGCTGGAGACGATGTTGGCATGGCGTTCCAGCTGAAGACGGACCGGAGATTCTCTGTTGGTTCGGTTTGCAGCATCATCGCGGCAATCTTTGACAACGTTTCGTGCCCCCCACCAGTCCTGTCAAGACTCAAGAACATGTTCAGCGTTGCATTTCCCATCTCCATCAGGTGGCGTAGCGGGACGGGTTGATAGAACTGAGTCCACTTGTGAGCTGAGATATCATGCGTTTGCGATATTCCAGGGTAGGAACACAGATGATACGGGGGCTTGGGTGCTGGTGGTGTTGAGATAGGGGATTGAATGTTCGAGGTTGATTGAGCATGGCACGACATGGCACTGGGAGCACTTGGTACCGCGCAGTCACTGGACGCCACTAGCGTCTTGGTCTGTTCGCCAGTGCGCCGCCTTTTCCCCAGCGGCCCCAGCCCCTCATCCGTGGCTGGCCTAGCCGCCTGTAGCCTGTGCCCGCAGTGCATGCTTAGCCTCAACATTGAAGTTGAGTGCCAAGTACGGAGGGGAAGCTCCAGCCAAACATGAATGGACCTTGCACCAACATTGAAGCCTCCTCAGCTCCAGGCGTTGTTGGCCCTGCCATCTTCAATCAAAGACACCTCTCGCGCCCGCGCTCCTGCTCCTGCTCCTCCCCTTCAGACACGCCATCTGTTTCTCACCTCGTGCCTCAGTGTTGTGTCGTGACCATTGCCGGGGCGGCGACAGGCACCGCAAACTGAGCTGCATGTAGCTCTCAGTGCTGACGAGACCACCACATTGCAGCTGCGAGCCATGGCGCCAACCGCAGAAAAGGACGGCCACAAGGCCAAGGACGATTCTACTCACGTAAAGGAGCTCTACCCCATGGTGAACTGGAAGTATGACTTGTTCCTGTATATGATGGGAAACTTGGTCGACTTGTTCTTCCGCGAGGTCGTGCCGCGAGGATCTTGGAAAGTTCCGCAATCCGGACCAGTTCTGTTCGTCGCAGCACCACATGCGAACCAGGTCAGTATAGCTTCACTTTCTCAGTTCCCGCACTAATCAGCCTGTCCGCCAAGACTGACAAGCTGCCGGGTATGCCCTTGAACTCAAGACCAAAAAAAACTGACTCGAGATTGCTTGCTATTCTGTAGTTTGTCGATGGCCTGGTGCTTCTACGAACCCTTAGACAGGAGGCCGGTCGTCGGGTGTCTCTGCTCATTGCCCAAAAGTCAGTTCACGGCTTCATTGGCTGGGCCTCTCGACAAGCGGGCGCTGTGCCCGTTGGTCGTGCACAAGATGCTACAAAGTCGGTGCCGGGTACCATCTACCTCCCCGATCCCGTTAACGATCCTACTCTTGTTCGCGGCGTTGGCACAAACTTTGGTACCGGCGACGGCCAGATACACGGCATGGTCTTTTTGCCGCCGGGGAAGAAGACTGCCTCTGTGAGCAGCGATATTGCGCAAATCCTTGGCCCCGAGGAAATTCGACTCAAGCGGCCCTTCAAGGGAAAGCTTGCCATGCAACAACTGACCGGCCGCGACGACATTGACGAGGACGGAAAGTTTACAAACAAAAGCATCAAGGGTCCCGCACCGGGATATGAAGGCACAAAGTTCAAGGCGGCACCGAACATTGACCAGACAAAGGTCTACGAGGCTGTCTTTTCACGACTACGACATGGTGGGTGTGTCGGCATCTTCCCCGAAGGCGGTAGTCACGACCGCACCGAGCTCCTCCCTCTCAAGGCCGGTGTTGCCATCATGGCGCTTGGAACGTTGGCCGAAGCACCGAACTGCGGGCTCAAGATAGTCCCGGTGGGCATGAATTACTTTCACGCTCACAAGTTCCGAAGCAGAGCGGTTGTCGAGTTCGGCACGCCGTTCGAGATTCCTCCGCATTTGGTGGAACTGTACCGCAACAACCAGCGAAGGGAAGCTATCGGTCAGGTAATCGATACTGTGTACCAGTCTCTCAGTGCAGTCACCGTATCGGCGCCAGACTACGATACCCTCATGGTCATTCAAGCAGCGCGAAGACTGTACAACCCCACTGGAAAGAAGCTCCCTCTGCCGGTCGTGGTCGAGCTCAACAGACGACTTGCCATGGGTTATGAGCGCTACAAGAATGACGAACGCATCACATCCTTATCAGCGTCGGTCAAGAACTACAACTTACAACTTCGCTATCTCAGCCTCAAGGACCATCAGGTCCAGTACGCTAGAATGTCCATTCTCAAAGTCCTCTTCCTCCTTGTGTACCGCTCCATCAAGCTTTTGCTTCTGTTCTTCTGTACCGTTCCAGGCTTGCTCCTCTTTGCCCCCGTCTTCGTAGCAACCAAGATTATCAGCATTCAAAAGGCAAACACTGCGCTGGCGGGCTCAACTGTCAAAGTCCGAGGCCGCGACGTCATGGCCACGTGGAAGATTCTCGTCGCCATGGGTCTGGCTCCTACCCTCTATCACTTTTACTCCATCATTATCGTATTCAAGGTCTGGCAGGACAGGTTATGGGGCTACGTTCCTATGTGGGTGCCTTTGTGGCTGGCGTACATTGGCATCTGGCCAGCCATGATTGGCCTCACCTTTGCAGCCTTGCGTTTTGGCGAGGTTGGCATGGACATTTTCAAGTCACTCCGACCCTTGATCCTCTGTTTGGTGCCCAGTTCTGACTTTAACATTCATACTCTGCGGCTCCGACGGGCAGAGCTGAGTGCCCAAGTCACGGATTTGATCAACACACTGGGCCCTGAAATGTTCTCCGACTTTGACAAGACTCGCCTTGTGCCGGACGTGTCCAGGCTGGAGAGCGGTGGCGCCACTCCCGAGAGAGCGCACAAGCGCAAAGACAGCGACCAGTCCAACACAAGCGCCGACGTGGAGACTCCTCCGATGCTTTCTCGTCGCAGCACGACGCAGTCCAGCCGTGCTCTTCCACGAAACGACTCCTTCAGCAACATTGGTACTGTCGGCATCTTCTCCACTCGTCCCCCATCCCGATCGAGAAGCAGGTCACGGTCTAGTAGTGCTGGAGGCGGCTTCGGCTCGGGGGGCTTCCCCATCAGCGGGTTTACCACTCTGGATTCTGCCGAGGGCTTCAACGAGGCGACAAGAAAGATTCGAGAGGCGATGAAGAATCGCAGGAAGAAGTCAGACAAGCTGCATGCAGCGGATGACGACGACGATGAGGACAGCGAAGAGGAGGGATATGACGAGGCGAGGAAGAAGAATATCTAATCGACTTGAAATGTGAATGGCAGTGGCAAACGAGTTCTGTTTAGACATCCCTTTTACCCTGAAGAAGAAAAATGTGGCTTGAGCTGGACATGGATGGATACGTTTTTGATACAATGTGACCGATTATGTTGTGTATTTTGTACATTTTTCACAACTTTATTGCGGGAAAATCTTGTCTCAGTCGAGAGATGGAGCGAGTTATGATGTTGCACATTGCTGTTTTGCCATTTTTCGCCGTGCGAGGTATGCATGTGGAAGTTGTAACTCCTATGAAATGACGACGATGTCAACTGCTTCTAGTATTAGAATTTGTGCTAGCGTTTGTTGGAGGAAAACCGGTCCTCGGAGTAACCCCCACCAGAGTCACCAGAGTTGAAGCATTACAAATGCTTTGAAAACTGTCAACGGCTACGAGTAGAATGGTGGTTGTAGTTGATGACGAAGCCCTGCGTCCCTGGCATTATGCAATGTGTTGTACGGAGTACCTCCACACCTTAACGCCGAGTCGCAACTACATACGGAGTACATACATACATACCTGCCGAGTAGGACACATTGGTCTTGGGCAGCCAGCCAATGGAGCATTCCGGGACGGTGCTGACATGACGTTACCTTGTGCTGACGTACGGAGTAGCTAACGGTTGGACCCTTTATTATTAGTACTCCCTACGGAGCGGAGTACAACTAACGGAGCCAAGGAGTTTCATGCTTGACCGGCTGCGAGGGGCTTGGGCTTGTTTGGTGGTGACAAGACGAACATTTGATGCAAAAGGCGCACCGTAGAGAGTGACAGTGCAGCACGCGGGATGACGCCGCCATCAATCCATCTCAATATGCATCGATGTCATATCGGCGGTATTCAATCATCAATTATGGGGTCACACAGAATGCAGGATGCAGGATGCAGATCGCCAGAGTGGTGTGGAGATGGATGTGTCGGCCGCGTCCTCTCACGGATCTGATAAAAAAAAAAGCCGTTGAGTGGTCAGACAAAACGTTGGGGCTCTGGGGCTCGGAGATACGCGGCGTATTCTCAGCAGCACAGACAGCCCAGGGACGGCCGGGCAGGAGACACGCGGAGAATTGCGTGTCAGCAGGCGCGAGATTGGTCCCTATCAGACCAGCTGCGATTCAGCCATAAATTCAAGAAGCCCGCAGCCGCCAACAACTCTGCGCCTTTTATCCTGGCGATTCTTGACCATAAAGCAGAGCACAGCCTTGGCAATAGAAAAAGCGCGCTGCAGCACGAGGCGCGAGGCGCGAGACAGGAGGTGGGTGTTTCTCGGATCTGATAAGGGAAGCGGCATATGACGACAGCGCCGCTTGGCTGGGTGGCACTTTCCTTTCATAATGTTCACAAATCACAACCCCGCGCGGCTCAGCGTCACAGCGGTCCTGACTTGGTTCACTAGGTCATTTTTTTTTACCCCCGCCATCGTCCATCCCACGCTGTCCGACGTCGAGAATTTCCAACCACACCCCCGGCGAAACTCGATCCCATTGGAACAGAAATTGCCACATTTCAGAGACTAGGGAGAATAACAGTGCTTCGTCCCTGAGAGAGAGAGCCGTCGCCCCCTTCGGCTCGCTAGCCCGGCGGCCCCAATCTTTCCACAAGGGAACCGTTTGGGAATCCCCAGCAAGGCCGAAACCGAAACGACCCATTCTGTCGGAAGCACTCAGTCCACAATTCTCCGTATAAACCCCCGGGGCTTGGTTTTCTTCTGTCGCCTTTTTTCCTTTTCTTCTTTTTTTCACAATGTCACCCCATTCTACGACGCCCCGGTCCCTCCCGCGCATGCCCGTGAAGCAGAAAATGGCCGTTTCGCTCAAATCACTCATGTCGTCTGTCCTGGGGGGCGGCAAGGCATCCACGCCTGCCTACGACGAGCTGTTTGAAAAGACGGACCCGCAGAAGGACGGGGAGGAGTGCCTGCACGACTGTGATGGCTGTACGGTACGGTATCCGAGGGGATTCAAGATTGATGAGGAGGATGTGCTGTATGGGCAGGTCAAGGGGTGGAGTACGCATGTGTTGGTGGGTACGGGGAAGACGGACTGGGTGAGAGATGTGGGGGATGAGAAGGGGAGTGTCATGGAGGCTATTAGTAAAGCGGATGGACCGACGAACGGGGTGAGTATTTTGTATTTGTGCTGTTTGCTGTTTGCTGTGGTGCTGTTATGAGAGTCATGAGGTGTCCCGGGGGATGAGGCTTCATCATGCCCATCTCATAGATCTCATGGATCTATGGATGTTGAAGCTTCAGAAAATCGTCTTCACGTATTTACGACTGAAAGGGACACCATCTCACTCATCGTGTGCTTATTTTGTTATGAGACAGTCATGGCTAATGCTTCTCGCAGAGACTCATGCTTTCGGCATCAAATATGCCCACACCACACGACACAAGCGACTACTCAGAACCTACAACTGTTCTCCTACTCCCCGCCTTCACCCTCGTGGAAAACGTCCACCCAACCAACGTCACTACTCTCATCACCGAGCTCATCAACAAGGCACCGACAACCATGTCACCGCTCACAACTCCTTCTCTCCCCAAGTCGCTCCCCGGTCTGGATGCTGATGTGCCCGTCCTGGAAACAAAAGCCTGCCCTCACAGCGCCGTCATTCTGATGTGCAGCCACAGAACACGAGATGCCCGGTGTGGCCAGAGCGCGCCTTTACTACGGAAAGAGTTTGAACGGCACTTACGACCCCTGGGACTGTATCGCGATCTGCACGACGAGAGACCAGGTGGCGTCGGCATTTACTTCATCAACCATGTCGGTGGGCACAAGTATTCTGCTAATGTCATGATTTACCGGAGACCGAATGCTTTTGGGCAAGATGAAGTTGTTGAGGCGGCTGGACATTCAGATTCAACAGCGACGAATGGAAGCTCAAACGGCACCAACGGCACTTCCAATGGTGCCTCGAATGGCACCTCGAATGGCACCTCGAATGGCACCTCGAATGGCGATGGTGCGAAGCCCGACGTTGGTGCCGCGCAAGGCATCTGGTTAGCGAGAGTAAAACCCGAGGACTGCGAGAATCTTATTAGATATACTGTTCTGAAGGGCAAGCTGGTCAAACCGGAGAGCCAATTACGGGGTGGTTTTGACAGAGTGAAGGGACTAACGAGTTGGTGATGCACAAAAGAATTTGATGGGCCGTGACGCCATCGAGATGTAATGACGGGGAGAGAGGGAGAAGCTAATTCGGGACAACATGTGAGAACAAGACATTATGATAGACACCAAGACTTGTCTGCTGCATATGTACTAGTCTAGCTCTAGAGTCTGCCACATACGACCACAGCCGCCAGTAGAACTCACGATCCCGTCTGATCTCGTACGATAACCTGGCGAGCGCTGGATTAGTAGTTGGGTCGGTGACGACCAGCGAATACCTAGTGTTGTATGTTTATTTTTTGCCACCTTGAAGAAGCCTATAACAGGTTGCTGCAGCGTTACATGGAGCGCCATATGATTCTCACAAAAATACATGCGACACCCACCACATGACGATTCCACAGGACACGGCGTCTCAGAACTGGCAACTCGCAAGTCTCATAAACAAGCCCGCCCGCCCCTCTTTAATGTCTGAGACAAATGCCAAGCTTGGCGCCCGTTAACAACATACAGCACAGGTGAAAGCATGAGAAGAATGGTATCCCAGCTAGACCTGCTAACTGGGTTCGCAGATGTCCAGTGATACTCATGTAAGTGGTTACAAAGCGACGGAACGGTCCGCCGCATCATCCTCCGTCCAATGCTCCGTCTATCTCAGTTGGTTGATAGGACCTGCCATGCCGCAAGTTCAAGTTGTAGAGACGATGAACGAGGTGCTTTTTTTTTTTTTGGAAAATCCGCGGATTTGTCCCGACGACGACGTTTCATGCTACGGAACCCGACATTGCAATATTCAGGGGGCATGAAAATCAGAGAGCACGGCATGTTTATTCACTGGAGATCCTGAGGACTAGGATGTAACAAAAATCCAACTCTATTTGATGCATTCTATACCAAAGAAAAAGAAGAAACAAGAGAAAAACGCACACGCGATACAGGAAAGGAAAAGGAAAAAAAATCCACGCCTTTCTTCACATCTTGTATTCACCCAGAAAGTCGTGACTAGCAACTTGCATTTCCAACGTGTCAATAGGCGTAGGTAGCCGGCTGGTTGTCCCACCCTGGCATGGGGGAAAGAAGCGGCCCCCCCGTGTTGCTTGTCATGATCTCATTTCCATTGTCCGCAGCCAGCAGGTGCAGCGAGCTAAGGAGCGGATCCATGTTGTTGTGCATGTCGTTGTCCCCTTCCTCAAAACGGAAAGAGTCGAACCTTCCGGTCAGGCTCGAATTATTGGTTCTGCCGTTACCCATACCGGCGGCGTCTGGACACGCCGAAAGGGGCACGGTGAGGGCGTTGTTTTGCTCTTCGTACGAAGCTGCTGGTTGCATTTCGCGACACTCCTGGGCCGGTGTTTCTACGCCATGCAGCGCTTTGCATGCGGTGTCTAGCGCTTTGAGTGCGCTCTCCAAGCGACGTTTCAAAGCATTTTTGTCTATGCCTTCGTCGAGAGGGGACTGCGAGGCTCGTGTGACGGCGTTCTTGGTCTGCGGGAAAGCCAATTCCTCCAGGTGTTGGTATGCTTTCTGTAGTCCATCCGTCACTTTTTCCAGCTGTGGGAGGTGTTTCTGGAACGTGTGTTTGGCAACGCCGGCCACGACTTCCCTGGCTCCACTGTTGACGCGCTCCTGCTTCTTATTCAAGAGGGCCTGCTCGTCGTTCAAGCTCTTGACAAGTCCACCAAGCGTAGATTCGAAATCGTCGTCAATGTCTGCTGTGGCCTGCCATGGTGCCGGGGGTTCCTGGGATGGGTCCTGATGACTCTGGTCATGATACATGTTTTCTTGTATTTCGTAGTCGGGACTAGTTTCCTGGGGAGGTGTATATCCCTGCAGGCCTCCCTCATTCTGAGACGAACCACCTGGTGTGTTCGGTGTGTTCTCGTCGTCATTGAAGTGGTAATCGTCCCCAGTGTCCATGCTGGACTCGTTGTCGTCGTCGCAGACGCAAGATAGTACATTAGGGATGGCATATTGCTCCTCCATTTTAAAAGTGGAAAGGCGAAATGATGGAGATGGATCTGCGAGGCTACCTTTTCACCTTTGGCTAGACAGAGTGAGAGTAGAGGTAAGAAAGATATTGAGAGATAGAGAGAGGGAGAGGAAAGATGGTTTGCGAGGAACAAGACCTTCTCGACGAGGGATACGGCGCGGTCATTTATACCATTTCAACGGCTGAAAATAATAAAGAGAAGCAGACTCGCACGTTATTCATCTTCGCGCCGGGCACCTTTACAGAAGGACAATGTAGAAGCAGCTTTCTCTTTGGAACCTATGAAAAGGCCACCAAAGCCTCGTCGTGAACGGAACAGAAACCACACTCGGTGGGTGTGAAGAGACGCACAGCAAGCTTTGTTCGATGTGAATATGACACATGCCGGGCTTTTTTCAAGCTGCTTTCACGGGTTTCACAAAAAGGCTTCACGAAAGGGACCATTGCGAGGACAATCACTACTACGGCACAATGCGAGCGGTGCCCAGTACCAAGGTGTAACGTATTATGCAGTCGCTAGCTAAACACTCACTGAAAACAGGCAATGACTTGTTCTGAACTGGCACTCTAGCTTTGGTTTTGACGAAACAGGTTTTTTTTCATCCTCTTTATTGCAGATGTTTGACTAGGCTATAAATCAACTTGAACCATGGGCTCAATGTCCCCCTTTGTCCCCTTGCAGGATATGCGCAGCCAAGACGTGCAGCTCCGTTGTTGAAACGGTTCAAAGACAAGAAACAAAAACAAAAACAAAAAAAAGCCATTGGTGGTCTGAAATTGTAAACACCCAAGCGAGTATTTGCAAAACTCCCATGAATCTTCCTCCTCCATGTTGAACTTGATGCCGAAATTGTGTGCACCGCCCATCAAACCCGCCGGTCGGGCAATCCTCCAAAGTGTCCAGCCACACTTCCAATACTGACACTTTTTTCTAAAAAAAAACGTCAGTCTTCGGTAAGACGATATATAGACGTGTGTACTCACCAAAAGGCAAGAACCGATGCGCCAACGACGAGGCTTCAACGCCACTCAGTTGCAGCAGATTCAACGACCTGCGTCAGAGGACTCTGTCTTCCCATCGCCATGATCGAATGGGAAAATATATACGCAGGACCCGTCAGGTTTAAATCCTTCAGGAAGCTGCGTTTCGGAGGTCTTGTCCCTCATGCGCTCCTCAGGGAGGGTAGGCTGATCGTTTCCCGGCTTCTCTGTGCATTCTGTCTTCCCATCGCCATGATCGAATGGGAAAATGTATACGCAGGTCCCGCTAGGTTTGAATCCTTCAGGAAGTTGCGTTTCGGGGGTCTTGTCCCTCATGCGCTCCTCAGAGAGGATAGGCTGATCTTTTTTCGGCTTCTTCATTTCCAAGACGACGATGTCGGGCCCCATTGTGTATTCTGTCTTCCCATGGCCAAGATCGTATGGGAGAATGAATTCGATGTAGTGTTTAATATCGTATCCTTCAGGAAGTTGCGTTGTTTCAGGGGTCTTGTCCCTCATGCGCTCCTCGGAGAGGGTAGGCTGATTGTTTTCCGGCTCCATTGTGTATAAGACGACGACGGTGGAAATAAAGGCTTTGAGATGCTCAGGAGCAGTGGGTGCAGTAGATGTATTCGCCAGGGCTGTGCAAAAGAAGACAAAAGGGTGAAAGAGTTAAAGGGTAAAAGAAGACAAGACGGGATACAAGGTTGGCCACGGGCATCGCCGCATTTTATAGACGTAGGTGATGGGGATTCACTGCCTCGTGCTTTGCTGAACAAGAAAGAAATAGCCTCATGTTGGGACATTCAGCGAAAGGTCATATGCTCGCTCACTTTTTTACAACAAGGGACACTTTGCGTGTGTTTGATGTGTACGGTCGCTGTTCAGCCGTTGGTGGGCTCACTGCTGGTCTTTGTTGCAGTCACGGGGCACGTTGCCGGTTGCCGATGAAGATTGAAAGTATCAATGATTCTTCAAAGCCAAGTAGTTCAGTACTAGAAGACGTGTGCTCGCCGAGGATGCCATCAATGCGCTGTTATTAACGTTCGTTGTTCAATCTATATCGACACCATATGCCTCTTCACCCCCATCCGTTCAAGCCATGTCCTAATCTACAAACCCAATCAACCTAATGCTTTTTCCAAAAAGTTCCCACCATGTAGATAAAAATAGAGCCCAGATTCGCTGGCACAAGTGCTAAATAAATGCCTGAATGTTCATCACGTCATTACCACAGCCCCCCCATCCATATATGCCCAGTTCTTTAGATCCATCAAATGACATCAAGTAAAATCGCTCGCACCATCGCCTCCTCGCACGGGTCCCTTCAAACACAGAGCGCCGGGGTATATGCTCTTCTCGGCAGGGGCCAGCGCGCGCAGCCCTTGGGCCGGTGTCGTCGCCAGTGTCAGTCCACAATGTCCCTCGTGCCGCTGCTGCTGCTGCCGCTCGACGACGTGACACTAAGGTCCCTCCTGACCGTGTGCACAATCTTCCAGATGCCGAATGCCACAGCGGCGAGCACAACGAAGAGGACAATGATGATGATGGCGATGACGTGGTTGCGCTGCACCATGGTGGCGGTAGGACCGGCTCCTGATGCAAGGGCCGTGAACAGGTTTTGCAGGTTCAATGTTTGACCAGAGATGGAGCAGCAGTCAGGAATGAAGAGTTTCTTTTTCTCTCTCAATGGTGTAGCTGCAGAGTGCCAAAAATAAAAATTTTTACGTTTGGCGTTTGGCGTTTGGCGTTGGCGTGGAATGGGTAGTATGGCGTGAAGCTATTCGCGAGCCAGGATGCGGCAAGACACCTCGTTTGCACCTCGAATAAAAAAAGTCTACTCCGTAGTCGTCGATGACGGATTCGAGAAACGGCGCGGGCACGAGGGAAAGCGAGCAAGCTAGCAGACTGGAATGAAGCAAGGTGGAAAACGGACGGCGCAGGCAATGCTGCGTGCATGTCACTCATATAGCTGGTTGCCCCGCCACCGACTTTCCGCGCAAGTCAATAAAACGGATGGCTGGCGTCGATTGAACGTTGCGAAAAGAATCGAGACATGAGCTAGCACTCGGGTATGGAGTACTGCAGGGGCCAGGGACAGGCCCAGCCAGGGGTCTACCGAGTGCCGTTGTGGGGCCATGGGCGGGAGCATTGGCCAGTGCCCAGCCAGCTGTCAAGGTTCAATGTTCAATGTTCAATGTTGGCTCGCCAACCTCCAACCTCCAATGCACCCGCTGCTCACAAAGGTACATGTACGGACTACGGACTACTATTCAACTCAATTCAATGTTGCCGCCAGACCCAACTCAGGGCCACGGCACTCTTCGACCACAACAGCAAGCAGCAGTCGGTCCCTTGTGAAATGGGTGAAATTCAGTTTTCCCTCTAAACTAAAAAGAGCCAACTCCATCTACTCTCTCCTGCGCTACCTACTACTACTACCATGGCCTCGTCCACCCGTCCACCCCATGTGCCAGCTCGCAATATACCTGGTGCGAAATGCTGGCACATGTTGGCCCTTGAGTAAAAGCCTGTTTACCATAAAGTGATATTGTCCGAAGCGCCACGTCCGTTTCGTCCGCAACCTAAAGCCCAGCCCAGCCAAAAAGCACGGCGGATTGCTCTCGCCAACTCCAACCAAGTCAAATCACCAGTCTCTCTCCCCCTTCAGTCGCCCTGCGCGGCCACCCTCTCATCATCCCGAATAATCTTGACGTGTCGCTCATAGAATTGCAGCATCTGTTTTTGCTATCCGTCAGTTGTTGCACGTCTTGCCGCCAGCCACCCCAACCAACACTTGGTAGCTGCACGTACCTTTTGAGGACACTTCTTGTAAATGACAGAGGTCTCGTGCTTGGTCTTTTGCCCATTCTTCCATATAAGGTACACGACAAGCTTCCCACTCCCCTCGTCCTCGCAAGCATCGATGGTGGCAATTTCGTCTTCCCAGGAGCCCGCCGGTGGCTGCCACGGTTTCGCGCTGGCCGGCGGTGCCGAGTCACTGGGGTGTGTGCCGTTCTTTCGCGATCGCTTGGCCGTCGCCGCCGCCGCGTTGGACGCCCCTCGCCCTCTCTTCTTCCCCCTCGACGCCTTCTCTGTTTGGTTGAAAATGTTCTCTCGTCCACCAAACGAGCGAAAATACTCATCGAGAATTTCCTGCGCAGATTCTCTGCGAGGGTACGTAGCAAATTAGCCATCGCGATCAATGCTGCAGTCCCAAACTATATACATGCACTCACTCCAGGTTCTCCTCGGGCTCCCACGTCAAGTCCTTTTTGGAGCTGTAACCTTCCCATTTCACCTGAAATCGCAGACTGCCCTGTTGGACCTTTGTTAGAAGCTGGACAATGATGTCTTGTAATCGGTTACGCCACTAACATCTTCATCGATCATGTGGCTTTTGATCGCTTCGACGATAAACCTAGGCCCGCGTTAGCCAACGAACCCCGCCGTAGAAAAGCGTAAAGCGCGTACACGTCCTCCTCAAGATCCTCATCCTCCTCCTCGTCTTCTTCACCGACCTCACTGCCTCCATTGGCAGCTACTGGGCCCGGTTCGTCGTCGCTTCCTGTGCTGCGCGCATCGTCGGCAAGCGATCGCGAACTTCGGGAAGATCGCGTTGTCGTCGGTTGGGGCTCCACGTCGGAAGACTCATCGTCGCTGAGCGCTAGAGAATTGTAAGTGCATGAAACACACGAGCAGCGCATCGTAATCAATCGGAGCCATCGCCATCACAGTCATGCGAGCAAGAGCTCCACGCCACAACTGGCGATGGAGAAACAGGGCAAGGAGTGCCACCGGTCTCCGAATGCAGGCTTGTTTTCCCAGTCTATCGCGTACCTGGAGGCATTTTTGCAAAATTGGAAAAGTTTCCAAACAGGCGATTCAGAGGCTGTAGAGAGGTGAAGCTGCGCATATGTCGCCAATCGGAATGATTGAGCCAGACTTCACGACGGTTTGTTTCCGTCAAACGCGGTCGGCTGATTAGCTTGTGGAGTAACCAGTATAGCGCGACACAGCCACAGGTGGCTGACCACGCAACTCTCTCAAGTCACGTGATGTGGCATATAATTTCCCTTGGGCGAGCAAGCTTCCAGGCGAAAACCATAACAAACCATGAAACTCTATCCTTCAGCTTGTTTCTCCAAGATTGAGTTACAGCTGGTGGAAGCTCCATACTGACCCCAACAATTTGTAACGAGGCCCGTCGCGAAGGTACAAAGTTCCCTCTGACCACTGTTGGATCAATACAGCTTGGCCTCCAGATATCTACAGCTACTCCCCATCAGCCGATGACATGGCCGCACAACGCACAATATCAGCCAGAATTACTTTTGATGTCATTGCAACGTCTCTTCACATGATGCCTTGTTCTATGCCATGGCTGCCCAAATGCCGTTTCGGCGAGGCCAAGTCTGAAAGAATGGCGTTCATCGTCTGAGAGAACTGGTTGGCAACCAAACAAGGCTCTTTACTGCATCTTGTTGCGATTTGCGATTGCATGCCTCCTCTTCATCAGCAAGCACTCTTGACACAAAAACCCGAAGGCTTCCATTTATTCTGGACTGTATTATTCCAGGATCCGTTGATTTCTACCTCCCCGGTGAATCAACAAGCTCTGCAACCTCCAAGAGCCTTCGCGATGCTGCCGATCATAGGATGACGGAAGCAATCGCGCCAAAAGTGATAGACGGATTTTCATAACGATGTCCTGGTAGCATGCTATGTCTTATGCCCCAATTAACCCGGTTACTGGCCGCGCACTGATCTCACCAAAGAATGAACCGACAAGGGTTTGATCAAGTGACACCTGACGGACAGTGATGCCGCTTCCTCCCGAAGTAGGAAATAAAATGGTTCTGGGTTCATAGGCGCCAAGGCATACAGGCTGCGGCGTAAAGCGGCGTTTGTTTCCAGGCGGGAGTGAGACGGCAGTGATAAGGCTTGGTATGAGATGGCCTGCCTACTCTCAACTGGCTGAGTGCATGATGGTTGCCAATGATGAGGGCAAGCAACGCTCGCTTGGACTGGGCTTGTCGGCTCATAGCTGGTACAACGAGGTAGCCTGCCTAAATGCCGAGAGCATCGTTCTAAATCAACTTTACTATCCGGCCTAGACCTGCTGTGTGTTACAGATGACTGACACTGACACATATTATGGCCCTGTTGTTGAGTTGAACCTACTTTGTTCCTGGCAAATCTCTGATGAGGCGATGGAGAGGTCTGGTGTCACTTGAGCTCGCAGCTACTATGATTTCCAACAGCCTCTGTTCCTCGTTTCAAGGTACGGTTTCTGTCAGCCCAACATCTACATTGAAGTGCGAGAGCCTCTTCGCCTGCTTCGTTCAATACCATCGAGCGGCATAATCCACGGTTTCCAGCTTGGTTGTGGTTCTGGCGTATGCGCGTAAGGCTCGCATGGACGAGTCACCAAGGGTGAAATGTGCCCTCGACCGGGGAGCCTCTCGGCCGCCCAGAGCTTTGTAGAATCCCGCAAGACTTTGGGCGTCCTATCAAGGGGGACTCTGATCAACATTCTAGAATGGTTGCTACAAAATTGA